GATCCTGTCTGCTTGAGGTTGAAGATCTTATCTTCCGCTACCTCTAGCTCATTGGAGTTCCCGAAGATTCTACGAATCTCTGTCTTAAATCCTTCAAAACTGTTGAAGATTGTTCGAGTGGGTTGCATGCGATCCTGGTCGTCATGCTCGAAATAGTCTCGTAAATATGGTTGAATCCGCTTGCTTGCTTCTCCTCTGAGATATGATACAGCCCATACACTCTTGGATTCCTTTTCGGTGAACTTGTCTTCGTTGAATCTGAAGTAGATTTCAAGTTGTAAGAGGAAGGTGTCGAGTTCCTGTCGAATTCCTTGGTATTTGTCTGGTAAGGCAATCTTGAGTGTTTCGTTGATGGTAATCTCCTTGGGAGCGTCGGTCATCTCGATATCGTTGATGTCGGGTGCTTGTGCCTGACTGCTCGCGGATGTATTGGTGGGTGCCATATCGTCGGTTGGTATTGAATTGGTACTTGAAGCAGAAATGGTGCTCAAAGTGTTACGGGAGCTGCCTCTAGGGTCACGTGGAAGTGTCTAGAGATCTCTCGAGGTGGTTTAGACTAGACTTCAAGTAGGAATTCAATAAGGTTGGTAACTGGTTGCAATTCTCGTAACTATAGTAATGAAACTAATGATTGTTCTTGAGCACGAAGCTCTATATTGTAAAGAAACCCTTTCCCTTATATAGACCTTTGCACTCTGCGATCCCATCGATCCCACTCACTGAGAGTAGTGGGCGTAGTGGGATCCCACTGATCCCATTGATAATAATCGGTGGGACTGATGGGATGGTCCATCACGTGATACTAGTCCCGTGAGTCTTGTCGTCCTGTCTTATTTCCTGTCCTAGGGCTAATCCCTTGGGAGCTTACTAATCCTAGCAAGACCTCTCTTGCTTACTGTGTCCTGTATTGCTTATTCTTCTTAGGACCCTACTGTCCTAGGAACCATGTCCTATGATTCAGTGTATTCTATAACTAATACTATATACATGCCTGAGGCTTTCCTTGGGTGCCTAGTGTCCCCCGGTATACTGCAGCTGAATCACTGAGGCCTATAATATCATTATAGCCTATAAGTCAGTGATTCTACAGCCTGTTACTAATCCGTTGTAACAAAGCATAGGGATTTTAAAGTATTATATATATAATATTAATTAGTTAGAATAATTCATATACTTTATTAATAAGATTATTAATTAGCTTGTTAATATTAGGAATAATTATACGTATTAGAATTATATTCAGATTTAAATTATTATTTGTTTATCGAATAATATCTTTAAATATAATAATATTGAATACTTTTTTTAAAAGGATTATTTATAAATAGTTTTTAATTTGATTGTTATTAGAATTATGTTACAGGAGCTGCCTCTAGGGTGTTACGGGAGCTGCCTCTAGGGTCACGTGGAAGTGGCTAGAGATCTCTCGAGGTGGTTTAGACTAAACTTCAAGTAGGAATTCAATAAGGTTGGTAACTGGTTGCAATTCTCGTAACTATAGTAATGGAACTAATGATTGTTCTTGAGCACGAAGCTCCATATTATAATGAAACTCATTCTGTTATATAGACCTTCGTCCTCTGGAGCCCCTGGGATCCGTATGCTCCTGGAGCCCGTAGCTCCCCAAGGCTCCCTCACGTGACACGCGAATGTGTCATGTGATGTCTGTCGTAACATAGGGTTATGTAGAAGTGTCTAGAGATTTCTCGAAATAGTTTAAACTAGAATTCAAATAGGAATTCAATAAGATTATAATTAATTACAATTCTTATAATTATAATAATAAAACTAATAATTGTTCTTAAATATAAAGCTTTATATATAAAGAAACCTTATTCCTTATATAAATCTTTATTCTTTATAAAACTATAAGGCTCTATTCTATTTAAATCTTTTGGATCTTATAGATCTAGATATTTATTCTTCAATCCCTTAGATCCTCTAGGTTTATTACATGACCGTTTGACCATGTGACGCGGTATGTTGAATACCGTCGTAACATTTAATATATATTATCTACTATATTAAAAGCTTTATATATACTATTATTTTATTATAATATACTATTGTCTATATTGTCTTAAAGTAATTTGTATATTATTAATTTTGATTTTAATTAGATATTAATGATGTTTAAGAATAAATGAATACTTTCGGTACTTTAACTTGAATTTAACAGCTGGATAATATAAACTAGCTTAGATGTTGGAATACCTTTAATAGTTCGATACGAATTCAAGACTCAGATATTATTAGTATTCAAAATTAACTGGTATTTTTAGATAGTTTCAGTTTTCAGACTCGGACTGAACATTCAGACACTGTTAGGATTTGAAATCAGATGCGATGTTGAATATAGACATGGGAATCCGTTGTGGTATGTGATTTATTATGCATCATGATCTTATTTATAAATTAAGAATATATTTAAACAAGGCGTCCCGACAATAACAAAAAACCCCCAAAAATGGTTGTATGGTGTAATGGTTAGCACGTCGGATTCTGATTCCGGAGATATTGGTTCGATTCCTATTACGACCTTCTCATCTGAAGGTTGTTTGCTACCTCAGTTCGATTCTGAAGTTCAACTGCGGGTTTCTTTTTGCCGGTTCTCTGATTGACATTTTTTTGGTTGTTGTTGTTTTGTCCCTGATTTTCCCTTCTGGTGCAAAGATCCGCTTTTACAAACCCAGTAGGTGCAGATGCATGTGTCATATTACGTAATCTAGATAGACCCCGCGAATCGGCCACAATTTTTTCTCGAATCTTTTAGTGCGGGCACTCTTTGTATTTTTGATTTCCCATGCGCCTTATAAGTCAATCATTTGATAATTTATTTCCCCCATCTGCCTCTTTCTTTAAAAACCATCACATTTCTACCACCACACTATTTAGAGACGTATTCATAGAAAAATATCAAAATGGCTCCATCAGCAACATCTCCTGCTCCCGAGGAGACTACTACAACCGCTACCATCCTCAGTCTGCGCAAAACCCTTTGCTCAGAATCACAACCTATCGGTCTCCGATTCCGCGCCCTCTTTTCCCTTAAACATTTCGCATGTATGCCATCTTCACCCTTGAATGTTCCCGCCATCGAAGCCATCGCAGCTGCATTTGCCTCTCCATCAGCGCTCTTGAAACATGAGCTTGCGTATTGCTTGGGTCAGACCAGGAATCTCGAGAGTTCTAAATTCTTGAGAGGAGTCTTGGAGAATCGAGAGGAAGATAGTATGGTTAGACATGAGGCCGCTGAGGCTCTGGGTGCTTTGGCAGATAGAGATTGTTTGCAGTTGCTTAAAGAGAGGAGGGATGATCCCAATGAGCCGGTCGAGGTTAGGGAAACCTGTGAATTGAGTGTGGAAAACATCGAGTGGGCACATTCGGACGCTGGAAAAGCAGAAAAGTTACGACAATCGTGAGTGAACATTTTCTATGTTTCAAAAGAAACAGAACATGCACATGGCAGAGTTAGCGTAGCGATACGCTCCAATTCTCAAATGGTTAAGACATTTCTTCCGTAACTTGCTGGGTAATTTTTTTGAATTGCATTACTGACAATATCTTTAATCATAGGGATTTCGCATCTATTGACCCTGCTCCACCAACCGCAGAAGAAAACTCAGAATCACTATCAGTTGAGAAACTTGAGGCAACCTTCCTGAATACCAAGGTTCCTCTATTCATCCGATACAGGGCCATGTTTGGTCTCAGAGACCTTGCATCACCCCCGGATCTTCCTACCGCCGTCCCTGCCGTTCTTGCCTTGGCCAAAGGTCTCCATGATAAATCTGCACTTTTCAGACACGAAATCGCTTTCGTTTTCGGACAATTGTCTCATCCAGCATCCATTCCTGCCCTTACTGATTCTTTGAGTAATTTGGATGAAGTCAGTATGGTTAGACATGAAGCGGCCGAGGCTTTGGGAAGCTTAGGTGACGAGGAAGGCGTCGATGATATACTTAAGAAGTTCTTGAACGATAAGGATTCGGTAGTGAGAGATAGTGTCATCCTTGCGTTGGATATGGCGGAGTTCGAGCAGAGCGGGGAGACCGAGTATGCGCTGATACCAGAGAAGGAAGCTGTCGCAACCGCATAAGTCTTTTTATTTTCTTCCAAATAAATTTGTCGTATTTATTTTACTTAAATAGACGACTGGTGCCAAAGTGCTTGGCCCATTAAAATAATCACAATATCTCCCTCTCAAACACCAGATAAAAAGTTCCCCATACCATATGATATACAATTCGTGAATCGTGAGGTAATATCTCCATGCGCCGTGCGTCGTAAACTAATTGTTCTCGGTCCACCTAGTATATGTCAATAGGGAGGAAACTATTGTATCAACACAATGCAAACTTACTTGTTTCCACAGGTACAGTTGTAGAAAATGGTACTTCCTTCATCCGCACTTCTCAATTGTACTGCTGTGAATCTGACCTCCTTTGCGCCGCATTCTGGGCATGGTGTTTTACTCATTGCTTGATTCTCATAATCCGACTTCTCTACCGTTTGAACTACCGATCTTTTTTGGCGCAATATTGAGGGGAAGGATGCTTCTTTCGTTCTCGTCTCGATTGTTTGTGAAGCAGTATCTAGAAGTAAAGTTTGATCAGTACTATTCACTCTAATAATGGTAAGAAACAAGTTGCGCGTACCTTTATTTTCTGCACCACAGCAATCGCAAGTTAAGATAGTATTCTTATTACCAGTAGAACTTTCCAACAGATTTCCACAATCTGTACAAAATACGAGAGATCCAACTGCAGACATTTTGAACTTCTGTTTGATTGTCAAGGTTTGAAGAATATGGTGTTTTGATATTTTTTTGGTGCTCCTCAAAAATAAATTTCTATACCTACAAGGTATGCATGCAAGGCCCAAAGGTGAAATCCAAAAAGCCGCTAGTGACGGCCCATCCAATCCAGATCTTTAGCGCAAGGCTGCCTACATAAGTTGTAACGGACGGCTACTAGGAATAATATTCAATGGTGAAGTCAAATTGGTCGTTCGCCGACAACCTTTATTATTATTATGCTTCAAGGGGAGCACTATGTATTGGGGATAACGACTTTGGATTGTACAACGATATGATCTTGTAATTCAATTCTATTGGGTCTTTAATTTCGCATCACACCTCTACGAGCCTTCCGGCCTTGCGCCCATCCACGCCTCACCACGCCGAACAAGTTCACCATGGATTCAAGTCATGGGTATGGCTATGGCTATGGATACAACTACCAGAATGGCCATAATGGGTCAACTGGCGCGTCTTCCTCAAGTGAAACCCGTCAAATGAGGCCACGACCATTCACCGTCGACGAAGCTCTTCCATATTCACCTTTTTCTTCTGTCGTTCCCTTCAATTCTGGTACCTTGCCTTCTCTTCACTTTCAAACCTGTCCTATCCGCAATTACTGTTATCAGTCTTCCTAACAACATTAAATTTACAGATATTATCCCTCTACCCACAATAGGACTTGGTTCTTCCTCTTCGTTATTTTCAAATGCAGCAGAAACTCAACAAGGCAGAGAAAGTCTAGAAAGCTTGAACGCCGAAGCAACGAACCCATATCAGACCTCGCAGCGCCTGCAGAGAACTCTGAAAGATCTTGAACAGTTGCTTAAACCAGAGGATCATACCATATAGTAAGTTCGAAATCCGGAAAACAATTCGATCTGACTGACGTTCGAAAAAGTAACTTCAAGATCGGACCAAAGATCGCATCACTTCCTGATGCTACTTCATTGAAACCAAACCTTTCACCCTTTGCACAGATGCTATACGACTCAACCAAAGTGGAGTATAAGAGAGCGGAGCGTCTAGAAGTGCCAGCTATGAGGCATAAAATCCAGAAGCAGAGGACCAAGTCGCAATCCAAGTCGAGAAATTCAAGTAGCAGCTATGTGAATTCGATTTCGCAGGCCCATACTGCGAATACAAACACCACTATATTTTCTGAAGCCACTACCACGAAGCCTGCTGCTGAATATGCGATCGTCGCGCCTAAAGCAAAGTCACAAATCGCGGTCGAAATTCCTTTGCCAAAGGCACTTGCGCCTGTTCACAAACCAAGTCCAAGCCCTGCGTCAAATTTACATGTCATGAAGATCAGTCCCAAAATAGCGCCTATTCAATCATCGGTCCCTCCACAAGCTGCACCGGCCGCTTTCCAGGATGGCAAGCAAAGTCAGAACATCCCACTATCTTCCTCACAACCAGGCATATCCGTTGTCATTCCGCAATCACAGATAAAACCAGAGGAATACAAGGTTGTAGAACCTCTTCCAGACTCTCCTGAAAGTCCTCCCAAGAACCGAAGACGAGCGGGCTCTGATGAATATGAAGGGAATGTCTCTGGAGTGATCGACCAAAGAGAGAAGGCCGATATTGCCGCGCGAAACCTTCGAGAATATCTTCAAGATGTTTTTGAGGCCGAAAATCAATTCCAGCCTGAAACTAACATCTCTAGCAATTTTCTTATCTCGACGAACGAGGGAATTGGCCTTGCGGCCAATGCTCAAATGCGACTCGAGGGCCTCTTGAACAGGATTATTGAAGTTGGCAGAATCAAACAGGTTCCCTTGGAAGACTTGATTCGAATTCAAAAATTGTCCGAAGCTGCTTTAAAAGAAGCTGAGACACTCGACTTGAAGATCGACGAGGAGATGGGAGAGTCAGATGTCGAAAGTCTGATTTTACAAATTTCGAATGCAGAACTTGGACTCAAATCTGCTCGCACCTCGCTCAGAATTATGACTGGCGGGCGTGACGAGAAGCAGTTATACTCGGAAGACCTAATTCAATCCGCTCTGAATGCCTTCAAAAATATTATGGAGAATTTCATAATCCCGATTGTGGAACTTCGTAGCACGGGGTCGACTTCAACATTGTTTAAGCTCCTATCTGCCCAGAAGAAAGCTATCCTTAATCTACTTGCTCAATGCAGACGCCTTTTGTCACTCATGGCAGTTCTCGTGGCCAATATTGATTTATCTGAAACGGTCATCAACAGTCTTGAATATGCAGCTTCCAAACTAATATTTGTCGAGAATGCTCATGCGGAGAAAGACTCCGTACTTGGTATCCCCAAATTCGACAATCTTAGAGTCATAGCGATGGATGTACTTGGACAAGTATTCAACAACAATCCAAAAGAAAGAGCAGAAATCTTTAATGAAATCCTGACATCCCTGGAGAAGCTTCCTGTTACCAAACAGAGCGCTAGACAATTTAAATTGGCGGATGGGGGAAGCATTCAACTTGTCTCGGCATTGATTATGAAGCTGATTCAGACAAGTGCCAGCAAGACGGACGATGCGAAAGAGAAGCGAAGACGAAAGGCACAGGATGCCCTAACTGGAGATGATGAGGGCCAAGAGGATGGAATCAATGATGCTGATAATCGTCGACGATACGATACAGAAAGAAGAGCAATCGAGCAGAACGTCACAGCGATCCAAGAGCTGAAAGACTGCGGAGCTTCACTACTGGAAAGTGCGACACAGAACACAGGATATGTGGTCAACTTCATTGTTAGTAGAGCAATTAAATCTACGAAGAATGGCGATACACCTTACCGGAATCTGCTAGACCTCTTTGTCGAAGACTTTGTAACATGTTTGAACTCTCCGGACTGGCCTGCTGCAGAACTACTCTTACGCCTATTTCTCTTCAAAATGGTTCAGCTCGCTGAGGCAGAAAAAAACACCTGCTCCTGCCAAGAATATGGCCCTTGATCTTCTTGGGTCAATGGGTGCAGCAATCTCGGAATTGCACTTCCATGTTCGAAAGAGTGCCGCCTCGCTTGAAAATCGAGATGGACGCATGGGACAGGCTCTTTCAAGAATGGTTGAAGAATCACTTAAACACGAAGCAAATACTCATGAGATCTTGACATGGGGTGGACCTTACTTCATGTGCCTAGATTTCATGGAAGGCCGCTGCTTTGCCGATCCTCAGCTAGCCAGCAGTATTTCTCTCTTGATTGTTGAATGGGCTTCACAATTAGCAGATGAATATGACAACATTCCTGATAGTGATCCTGATCACGAGCGCATCGAGGAGAACTATGGTAAAGTGGCATACCGACTTAGGATGATGATCACAGATAAAAAATGGTATTCTACAGAATATGGTCATGGCTCAGTTGATCCTAGTCATGCCCGCTTAGCTTACTCTGTGACCTTGTTGCATTCAACCTTTTGTACATCATTCAGTCGTGTGCTGGATATACTACTTCGATCAATGTTCAGCGAACAAGCTACCGTCAGAAGTAAGAGTCTGAAGAGTGTAAACCAGGTTCTGGAAACAGATCCAACCATTCTTGAAAGAGAGCCTACCGCCAAGCAAATGATTTTGAGGTGCTCAAATGATCCTTCAGTTGGTGTAAGAGATTCGGCATTGGGTCTCATCGGAAAATGCATCTCATTGGTACCATCACTCGAGGTGGAGATGACTCCTAGTATCCTTCACCGTGTCAATGATAGTGGTGTCGGTGTTCGAAAACGAGCCATGAAACTACTAAAAGACATCTATTTGAACAACACCAATAAAGATGTCAGGGCTTCTATTGCAGATGCTATCCTCTATAGAGTCACCGACCTTGATGACGGTGTTCAAGAATTAGCTCGGTCAACGATTGAGGAAGTTTGGATGTTACCTTTCTACAAAATAACTGCATCTGAAGATACATCAGTTCAAGCAAAACTTGCTATTTCGGATCACGTTACCTTGATCGTCAAGACGGCCCAAAGACAAAATGGAACCTCTGGTGTGTTAGACAAAGTGCTTCAAAATCTACTTTCACCAAAGTCGAAATACCCTGACGCGAATTTCAAGGTCTGCAAAGCACTTGTTGCTGCTATGTTTGAGACCATTATTGATAACGCCGCTTCTGAGGATTCCGATGCACCAAACATTCGGGAATCTCTAGAAGTACTCACCATATTTGCCAAGTCCAATGCAAATCTATTCACAGCTGATCAAATCCAATTATTACAGCCATATGTTGCAAACGTCGGTAGTGGTGATGAAGCTGCTATCTATCGTTCAGTTGTTATCATCTTCCGCTACGTCCTTCCCAGTTTACCTAAGGTTCAACATGGTTTCCTCACTGAGATTAGGAAGCATCTTTTGCCAACCATGACACGCAGTCCCAAATCTATTTTAGATGACATTGTTGCGTGTTTATGGATCATTAGTAGTGTCCTTGACGATTATCATAACTTAACAAGAGTCGTATTATCTAGTTTGGCTGGTATTCAGAAGATGAAAAGCATCGATTTGAACGATCCGAAGCGAGCTGATCTTGTTAAGAAATTGACAAAACTTCTCCTTATTTGTGGCATGTGTGGTAAGCACTGCGACCTTGATCCTCAACATGAGATTTTCAAGGAGAAGGAGTTTCCAAAGATGAAAGGCAACTCGGTTTCGAAACTGATGGTTGATACTTTTGCACCATTTGCGACACCTTCTCAGCCTATGGAGGTTCGGAAGCATGCGCTTGATGCAATGGGTATGGTCTGTCAATCTTGGCCGAAGAACTTTTCCGCCGCCAACGTTTACACCACATTTATCCAAGTATTTAGTGATCAGGATTTAGAATTGGAGACGATTGTGATGAGAGCCTTCAAGGAATATCTTTCGATTGAGGAAAAGCGATCAGAGGAAAGTGGCGATGGTGCGGTCGGCACTGGCACAGATTCAAAGGCGAAATTGGGTGTCATGGGCGGCAGTCAAGGTGACGGTGTTGCATTGGACATCGCACAGAGATTTTTGAAAGATATTGCTCGCATTGCGCTTGGTAGCCAAGATAAGGAAGCACTTCTTGCTGCAGAGGTTGTGGCAAGCATCAATAGACAAGGTCTTGTCCATCCCAAGGAAACTGCTTGCACCCTCATCGCCCTGGAAACTTCACCTACCAGCAAAATTGCCGACATTGCATTCAGGGAGCACAGGGCTCTTCACGAGAAGCATGAGACGATTCTTGAGAAGGAATATATGCGAGCTGTTTTGGCTGCGTACGCATACCAGCGAGATGTAGTCAAGGACACTCATGGTGCTACACTTAATCCTTTCACTTCGAAACTCTGGATGATGATTGAAATCATGAAAATCAGTAAAGTCAAGAACAGAAAGAAATTGTTCGATAGCCTATGCTCTCGAATCAATTTTGACCCGGCAAAACTCGACACTATTGAAGATCTACCACATCATTTGGATTTCGCACAATTCATCATCGAGAATCTAGCTTTCTTCGAATATCAAACTGTGGATGAATTATTATCAACTATCGATTCGATGGAAAAATTGGTTGCTGGTACAGGTACGGGCATTGCTCATGCGATTGAGACAGAGGTCCTTCATATCAGCCTCGACCAACCAGCAAATGAAACCGATGCAAATGGTCATATTCATCCAGAAGTACCAAAGCGAGATCTAATGCGCCTACAACAACTCACTGCAATTTCAATCATGCTTACGAATTTGTGGGAGGCTCGTACATATCTTCGACGTCAGTTTGGATTGATGAATAGAGATGGAAAAGTCAAAGGTGCAACCAGAGATCTTAGCCGGACTCCGGTAAAGGTAACAAGCGTCTCTGGAGACAAATTCTGGAGCGAAGTTTGTGGTAGAATGACTAGTTGCGAGTCTGAGGACAAAATGGAAGCGCAATGTCGAGCCTTTGTGGAACTACTCAATGTAGATCACGACTTCAAGGTTTCAGCAGAAAACGACGAGATTGACGAGAGAGGTAGAATGAGTACGCCTAGTGATGATGAAGACGGCACACCAGGCCCGCCGGGTGGCAGCGGAAGAGGCCGTAAGAGAAAGGCTGGTACCAATGGATCTACAGGGGGGCGAAAGAAGCGAGCTAGGTCCAGTTCAATCTCAAGAGGACGAGGTAAACCAAAAGGAGCGAGTTTAATTTCCGGAAAGGGAGCTTCTGTTGAGCGCAACGATGAAGGCGACTGGGATAATTGATTCCAAGCCATCCAGCATGATTCTGAAGAGGAGTTTACTTGTGGCGTTCGCTTGGCTTCTAAAATGTGTACAGTGGCGGTTTGGGACGGGAAGGAATTACATTTTTATCATTCGAGATACCTGAGCATTCATTCCATCGAATGTTACTTTTTGCTGGAATCATTTTTCTGGGATGGATTATTGAATCAGGAAGTGCTACATAAATAATTGCGCATCATAGGAATACAGGTGGGAATGGTCTATCTGGCATGCCAAAATGGCTAGCATCTGGCTTGGTGCTTAGATGAAAATGGTCCCATGGAATCAATAGATATCTTTGGTTGATTTAATCAATCATATCATACATTAGTAAATAGTATTAATAGAAAGCAACAGTTAATCATTCAACATTTGATCCAAGTGCTCGGCAAGAAGAGCGAGGCTCATGAACATGATTTCGCGAGTTCCAACGAGGGATCGTCTGAACAATGCAAAGTATCATAAGAAATTATTCCGTGAAAGTATTTGATAAGGCTAAAAATTGTCCTATGATGGTGGAAGTGACGTGGACGGCTTAGTTTACTGTGTCTTAGTGACCCGGTAGTTCGTATCGTCTTCCTTGCTAGAAAAGACAGAGCTTGATCTTTAATTCTAAAATCTGGAATTCTTATGCGATACCTACCTGACAATACCGAGTACACAGCATGTCCAACCCTTACTTAAAAGCAACAAAGAGTATCAGTAAGGGGGTGGAAAGTGATAGATGTTTTAGACAAAGCTTTATTAAAATGTTGCTTTTGTTTGGTTTGTCGAGATGTTTTGTAAGTTACATGTCACTACGCTCTAAGTCGGGTACCCTACTTTCTGGCCACCCCTGGGGTAATGGCTTAGGAAAATTATGGATCTTGGGGAACCTAGAGTATAAAGTACTCTAGGAATATTGTCCTGTGATACAAGGTTAGATAGGACACTAGCCCTATGACTGAAGTAGTCCTAGTGTGATAACTGTGCTGGTATAATGATCCTAGACTTGAATCTGTCCTAGGATATTTGTCCTAGGATGAGAGGGTATATAGGACAAACCATCTGGGACATATACAGCCATAGGAGATGTGTCCTATAAACGATATCCTACAGCAATATCACTCCTACGATCTAGGTGACCCTGAGATGTTCGAAGGCCTAAGCCATTTGTCCTAGATGAAAATTCAAATCAGGCGAGATTGCAACAGTAGCTAACTGTATTGCCCGCGGTGTGCAAAGGATATGTGTAGGTCCAGTATTCAAGCAACATATTCTTAGGCACTTATTAGGTAAGAGGCTCAGTTGATTGTCTGACGATTCAGACAATGCTTAGTAATCATGATTCCAATCCTCCACGGAAGATCATTTAGGTTTTGTCACTTTTCCTCGGAACAATCCATAACTGTTTTAAAGCTTCATTCTATCTATATATTGATGTGCTAATTATATTTTTAAAATATCTATGATGAAGTCTCCTTGCATACAGCTAAAGAGCTCTAAGGTTGCATTCAGCCTCATTGTGATTAAGTGTGGGCTGTGCAGCCAGAACGTCAGGCCCATGAAACAAAGCTTCTCACAATCTTCAGAAGAGGACGGCAATCTTTTTTTTATAACGTATTAGATGTCCTCGCCTTGCTTTGTATTGTTAACCTCAATCGTCAGGTACCCGCCTCTCATTGATGCCCCGCTCCACCCTGCTGTCTCTGAACCCCACCCGACTTCAACTGCTTCCTAGCGTCTGGCTCCGCACCTAGTCATGCGTCTTCTACACAACGAGACGGGCAAATTCACCCTCACTAAGGACTTCATTGGTGACGATCAGATTCCCCCCTACGCCATACTGTCGCATACATGAGGACCAGACAACGAGGAAGTTACCTTTGAGGATATAGTAAACGGTACTGGCGAGGTCAAGCCTGGCTACGAGAAAATCCGATTCTGTGGAGAACAGGCTAGGCAGGATGGTCTATGTTACTTTTGGATTGGCACTTGCTGTATCAACAAGAGCAACAATGCCGAACTCTCACGATCTATCAACTCTATGTTTCGTTAGTACTGTAACGCAACTCGATGTTATGTTTATTTGTCGGACATCTCTGGGTGTTCCGTCGGCGGTAACCACAAGTGTATGCTGCGGCTGTGGGAATCGGATTTCCGGAAAAGCAGATGGTTCACTCGGGGCTGGACGCTCTAAGAGCTCCTTGCCCTGGCTTCTGTCGAATTCTTCTCTCGAGAAGGCAAGCGACTTGGTGATAAAAGTTTGTTAATAAGATAAATTTGCGAAATAACCAATATTCCTCATATAGCGCTTGAGGGATGTTCCTTGTCTCAATTTAGCGTTGAGGAGCGATTGCGGTGGATACAACATCGCTAGACCAAGCTGGAAGAAGATAAAGCGTACTGCTTACTAGGCATTTTTGATGTCTATATACTCCCTATCTACGGCGAAGGACTAGCAAGTGCGTACACTCGGCTCCTAGACGAGTTCCACAAGATGCAGAGATGTATCCAAGACTTACGGCTTTCTGATCCGCGCGATAACAAGAAGCGTATTGAGGGCACCAAGGGTGGTTTACTACAAGACTCATACAACTCCCCCTCGACAACCCCGAGTTCTGACAATGGCGCAGCGACTAGCAAAGCCAGCTGCTTGGGATCGAGGGCGATCCTGGTAAGGGCAAGACGATGCTACTCTGCGGAGTTATCAACGAGCTAGAGAGGTCCAAAGCCAAGTCGGTTCTTCTATCGTACTTCTTCTGCCAGGCCACTGACTCCCGGATTAATTACGCCACGGCCGTGTTACAAGGTCTAATTCATTTGCTTGTTGACCAACAGCCGTCTCTCATCTCGCACATACGGACGAAGTATGACCAGGCTGGTAAAACGCTCTTCGAGGATACAAATACTTGGGTTGTGCTCTCCGAGATCATCGCTAATATGTTGCAAGACCCCAGCTTAGATTACGTGTACTTAATCGTCGATACGCTCGACGAATGTGTAGCAGACTTGCCAAAATTGTTCGACGTCATCGTGCAGACTTCGTCAATATCTCCTCGTATTAAGTGGATTGTCTCTAGCCGCAACTGGCCAAATATCGAGAGGACCCTCGACACTGTAACGCAGAAGCTAAGGCTTTGTCTCGAGCTTAATGAAAAATCCGTCTCTGCTGCTGTTGCGACATTTATCCAGTTCAAGGTGGAGTGGCTAGCAAAGCGAAACAAATACCACAATGATACACGGGAAGCTATCCAGCAGTATTTAACACTAAACGCAAACGGTACTTTTCTTTGGGTGGCTTTGATCTGCCAAGAGCTGTCAAATGTTTCGAGATGGAAAGCTCTACAGAAGGTGACGTTATTACCGCCTGGACTCAATGCCCTCTACCAGCGAATGTTAGACCAAATCATGCATTCAGAAGATGCTGAGCTCTGTAGAAGTATACTGGCTGTTGTTTCGACTGTGTACCGGCCCGTCACGCTGGACGAGCTGATGGCTTTTGTGGACATGCTTGACAGAGTTTTTAGCGATTATGAAGCTCTATCGGAGATCATAGGTCTTTGTGGCTCCTTTCTAACACTTCGGGAACGTACTATCTTCTTTGTTCATCACCCTGGGTACCAAAAAGCAATCCAGTCGCGTTAGCATTACGGGCAAGAATGCCCGTAAAAAAACACGCTTCGTTACCTCGAATAGTTCTAGCCAAGAAACCTCCAATAATGAAAGTAATGGCGGTAGAAAATCTGTTGAGGACTCAACGGTATTGGTAGAGTGCACGAAAATTTCAACAGCTATTGTGCGAAAGATCCTCTTGGGATTGAAGGCTCCTAAAAACGAGGTTGATGAAGTGAACACACAACCTATCGTGGATTTCGGTGTGAAGAACAGTTTATCCAAATGTATCGAGGATCAATTGTGGCTGCAGTCTTCTAAATGTGTTCACCAAGCAAAAAAAACGGCATGGAATTACAGGTTTCTCGCGTCTTGCTTTCGTATTGTCCGCCTTGGCCAGACAGGCTGTAGTGAACCAACGGTCGAAAATATTGATAAAACACTTTGGACTATTCAGAGATGGACCGTAGCAGCTGATGCGATAAATATGATCGACGATGGACTGGCAAAAACCTGGGGTGAGAAGGCGGATTTGGTTTATGAGGCTTTTGCTAGTAAAAATCCATCTTCCAAATGATAAAGACCCCTCTAACATGTTTTCAGGGCAGAAATTTCTTCTTCACAATTACTCAAGATTGTCTCAAGAAAAACGACAAATGGTTTGTCGCCCTTATTGTGGAAACTCTCAGTGGAAAGCAGATTCCAGCGAATAACTTGCAATACCAATTCAATCCTGCTTTCTGCATCAGTGTCGCTCTCAATAAAAAGAATGCAATCGCTAATATCTTTTGCTAAAGACGCCACTAATTAAATGGGACAGTTATGCAGAAGTCTGCAACGCTCTTAAACTTAAATCCTACGCTCATCGTGGTCTTCATGTGAAGGAGAATCTGTTCCGCCTCCCATGGGTGTACAGCAATCAGCTCGCAGAGAAGGACGATCATGATTCTACCACTGATAAACAGGATGCGATTGGCAAAAGGGCTGCTAGGAGTTTAGAGCCACAGGCAGAGGCGAATGGCCCGCTTACCAAACGAAGGCGTGATGATTCATTCCCCAACCACGATTCGACCCCCTCTCAATCAACGAACGGACCTGCATTTAAGGATCCATCCCTCTCCGTACCGTTGACTGCAGTTACACACGAACAACGTAAAATTAGTGTCAACCATACCTTGGAAGATGTGGACTTTAATGGAACATCTCAAATGTCAGGCACTCTCCAGGTTGAGACCATGAGTACGAACATAGCAGTAATGGCTGATATCAACAAGCTAGAGAGCACCTTTGGAGCTTGCCTTTTCTATGAAGGTATCAAGACAAGTTGGAAGAGACATCAAGAAGGAGGCACGAGGTTGACCGATACTGTCCGGTTGCATCTTCCCGATGGCGATGAGGATTTCAAGTTGGAGATTTGGGTGTGTTTGTCAATTGGGAAAACTATTGCGGAGGCAATACTGAGACCGGTCGAAGAGTCAAAGACCTTATTACAGCGGAGATAGTGGCAGCGATTGCAGAGTTGAAGCAATGTTGGGCTTCAGCACAGGAGCATTCATTTTCAAGACTATCTTTCCATTCTAATGCAGAATATCTTTGCTATGTTTTTGCCACTAATTTAAACTCCATTTCTGACACAACAACGGTCTTTCCCGCAGGAAGTTCCTCACCCTCAACATCTACATTTGCATCACGAAGGCCCACAAATCCTGGACCAATACCTATTCTGCCGGAGTCGTTTTTAGAGGCCCTCCATGACATAAGTCTCGGATAGGTAGCCGCCCCAAAAGTAAACCATTCAATATATTCGTATTCTCCCTTGGAAGTTTCCACAGCCCCGACCTGCGTTCTTCGCATTAGAATTGGTACAAATGTGGATATAGTCGGCGGCCCTACTTCAGGCATTGCGGTAAACCGAATCTCCTTAGCCGGATTTCGGATTTCTCTCGTACTACTTCTGTTAGCGATAGCGGCAGAAATTTCAAAAGGGGATGGATGTGCATCTGTCGAGAAACTCTTTCCAAAGTGGGGTTGGCGAAGATAATCAAAATCAACTGGCTGTTATTCAGTTAGCGATACTGGTGGATGTGTATAAAGAAATGTATACACCACTTTGCAGATTCTTCTGATCGAGATAAAGTTGATGTAGAAGGTTAAAAGCTTGAGCGAGGGATGAATATCCCATATGGGACGTGAAAAAGATTGTCAAAATGTAATAAATATAGGGAAAGATTTGGTGGGGTTAGGCTGAGTTTGGCAAGGTTGGTCATTATGCTCATGCAATTTGCTCAGCCGCCCGATAGTGACCGAATTGCGCGCCGGTGCAATTGGGCTGTAATGATTCAGAAAACATTTATCATTATTTTGATCTGGGCTCAACTAAATCTCATATTAGGTACGCACTCTACAAATTTACATCTTCTTGGTTTATTGGAATTCTGATGCCGCGCATTAAAACTTCAACCACTCCTACTGTCAAGCCACATAAAACACGATACAGGATGTTATGATTCGCGTCCTCACAAGGGCGTCATATAAAGCTATAACTTACATGTGCTTGATCGTCTTTAGTTCTCTTATCAACTAGGAGGTGTTCCACTTTCTAAGTTAGAAATAAAAGCGGAAAATGATTTAAATATATAGTGTATACAAGAATATAAAGATTATGATATAGGAAGGTTTTAATAATATTGAAAAAAATCAATTATATATTATGAATAAAGATTTCAAGAGTAAGAAGTTTGAATATAATATTAATTTTTACATTAAAATCTTTAATACGGAAGTAATTTCATTTGAAAAAGAATGAGATGAAGGATATTAATTTATATAAGATAATATTCTTATATATTAAGCTAATAAGGTACTAGAATAATTTAGGGCTAGGAATATTCCTTTAATTAATTTCAAGCTTTCTTATAATCCTGATTTCAATTCTATTAAACACATTTAATAGTATCTAATGTTACGGGAGCTGCCTCTAGGGTTATGTGGAAATGACTAGAGATCTTTCGAAATGGTTTAGACTAAACTTCAAATAGGAATTCAATAAGGTTGTAACTGATTGTAATTCTCGTAATTATAATAATGAAACTAATAATTGTTCTTAAGCATAAAGCTCTATATATAAAGAAACCCTTTCCTTTATATAAACCTTCACACTTTATTATCTCACCAATCTTACTCATTAAAAGTAATAAGAGTAATGAAATCCCATTAATCCTATTAATAATAATTAATAGGATTAATAAAACAATCTATTATATGACACTAATTTTGTGAATCTTGTTGTTCTATCTTATTTCCTATTCTAAAGCTAATCCCTTAGGAGCTTACTAATCCTAGTAAGACCTCTCTTGCTTACTATGCCCTGTATTACTTATTCTTCCTAGAACCCTATTGTCCTAGGAACCACATCCTATGATTCAGTGTATTCTATAACTAATACTATATATATACCTGAAGTGTCCTTAAATGCCTAATGTCCCCCAGTATACTATAATTGAATCACCGAGGCCTATAATACCATTATAGCCTATAAGTTGGTGATTCTACAGTCTATTACTTGATCCATCGTAACATCTAAAAGCATTTGTTTGTTACGATGGTCTGCCACAATAGACGTCACGTGACCCCGACGCTTAGGTAACCGGATCAGAGGGATCATTAGTGATCCAGTTGATCGGATCAGAAGGATCATTTGTGATCCGACTGAGCACAGAGAACGAAGGTCTATATAAGGGAATGGGTTTCATTACAATGTAGAGCTTCGTGCTCAAGAACAATCATTAGTTTCATTACTATAGTTACGAGAATTGCAACCAGTTACAACCTTATTGAATTCCTACTTGAAGTCTAGTCTAAACCACCTCGAGAGATCTCTAGCCACTTCCACGTGACCCTAGAGGCAGCTCCCGTAACATATAAGTCTCTATTTTATTCCTCATATTAGCTCTCAAATTTATAAATAATTAATTATTTAATGTATTCTAAGCTATCTATAAAACATTCTCAAACCTCTACCTAATATATTCTATCTTACTTTTGTTTATTACAATATTCAAAAATATCTCAAAAACAATGTTACGGGAGCTGCCTCTAGGGTCACGTGGAAGTGGCTAGAGATCTCTCGAGGTGGTTTAGACTAGACTTCAAGTAGGAATTCAATAAGGTTGTAACTGGTTGCAATTCTCGTAACTATAGTAATGAAACTAATGATTGTTCTTGAGCACGAAGCTCTACATTGTAATGAAACCCATTCCCTTATATAGACCTTCGTTCTCTGTGCTCAGTCGGATCACAAATGATCCTTCTGATCCGATCAACTGGATCACTAATGATCCCTCTGATCCGGTTACCTAAGCGTCGGGGTCACGTGACGTCTATTGTGGCAGACCATCGTAACATTATATTATAACAAATGACTAGTATACTAAATATTAAGAGCTTAAGCTATAATATTATTATATAAATTATATCAATTATTATGTATATATATATATACTAAGAGATTATCAAAATTTAATATTAAAATATTAAAGAATTGATTTAATAAATAGAATTGAATAAGAGAATAGTATTAATAGATTCCCGAGTAAAATCCGGCCGACGAATAGCTGTGTCCTAGTACTATATATATATAATTTCAATCATTTTAAACTTATTATGAAAATTTCAGATTTTTAGGATTTTTCTGGGTGGAGATCTGAAGCTTCAAAATATCGATTTTTTAATATATATGAGAATTATATATAAATTTAAAATCAGTTTTAAATCTTTAATAACTTTTCAATTATAATTAATAAAAAGAAACTAATTACACTTTTGAAAGTTTTGAGCTTGAATTTATATAGAAATTAGAAAAAATTAAAAAGAATTAATAGTTATAGAGATATAATTTAAGTAGGGAAAAATAATCCCTGTAATTTTGAAAGTAATTTTATAAATACTTATTAATTGAAATTTTTCTAATTTTTCTGAATGTTTTATATTATAAATAATGAAAATTTATAACTTAATTTTAACAATTTTCATTAAAAAGTTGTTAAAGATTTAAAACTGATTTTAAATTTATATATAATTCCTATATAAATCAAAAAATCAATATTTTAAAGCTTCAGATCTCCACCTAGAAAAATCCTAAAAATCTAACATTTTCAGAATAAGCTTAAAATGATCTGAATTATATACATATGAATTTTTGATAAATTATATAATATTTTGATAGAGATATTAATAAGCTAAGAAAGCCATTTTTAGTGTAAATGAGTGGCTCAAAACAGGGGTGACCAGAAAGTAGGGTACCCGACTTAGTATGCTAGATGAGGGTTCTGGTGTATATCACAGGAAATGGTCGGGATTGGGTTTAGCGCCTCGTTTATATGCTATACACCAAGGTTATTATAATAATAAACCTGATCCCAATCATTTCGGTCGATCGCAGCATATCAATCCGTATCACGTGCGCCAGATGCCTCTCTTGGTAGGCTGGCATGTAAAAGGGTGTTATAAAAGTAAGAAGACCCTCGACCTTTAAGATTGGGCGTGAGCTGGTTTTTTATCTAGCATTCGGTAAATCTCCAAAACGTTGAGAAGTCTGGTTCCGGCACTTGTTTCTCGGGAAGGAAATGTGTATTTGTCATGGTATAGTGGAACGTACAGTATTATTCTATTCAAGTTAAAGATTTCTACTTAAAGATCTTCAATAGCTAGATTGTTAGATAGGTATATATATATCAAGCGATGACAAAGGAGGTGGCAACCCCTCGGACTGAGCGTAACGGGTCGGTAATGATACTTCCTTTCTTCCATTTGCAGTTGACTGCGGAGAAGGAAGATGAAGAATATTTTGTGTTACGTATACTTATGCTCATGCACGATATATTCGTCATGAGCCTAGGTACCTAAGTCAATTTAGTGTATCACTGCGCTGGGTACAAAAGATAAATTTCATGATTCTAGTGTTCTATTATGGAGAATGAGTATTGAGCTATTAGTTATATTCGGATAATACGAGAGATGATCTCTTGATACCCCACCTAACTAGCGAACTCAACCACGGAAAGAACCCTCTAAAATACCCGTGAAAACTTTGTAGATTCAATCTCTTGGTATTTAAGGGTCTTCCCGGGCGAATGGTTCACAGATTGATTCTGTCGGGAAATCTGGGAGTTCCAAGGTTGGCTAGATGTGGTAGAGCAGGCTATAGCTTATTTGTGGCTCACTATGGTCGAATCCATTCCTTAGACACGACAATCTCGCCAATCGTTGAGGCCCTGGTTGCCAAGAGAGTGAATCTGTTCGGTAAGTTCATACGGTTTTGAGAGACGAGACGTTACTTCCTCCTTCTGGTGCTTGTTAGGTCTTGACCCGGCATAGAGTTTCGTGACCCACAGATCGACTTCTAGGATAATATTTAACTTCGATGCTCGACTTTTGGATTGTCGTTTGATTGTTTGTAAAAAAAATAGATGCCGAGGACTCAAACTTCAAAGTCTGAGCGGTCGCAAGTCGAGCAAGTCTAAAGTAGTATGCATCTCAATCAATTGATCTTTTTCCTCGGGGATTTTAATTGCATCACTCATTGCCAAGCCGAGGACCCTTCCTTACCTACCATCAGGATGCAAGTCTTACAGAATTCCTCCCCTTGCATAACCGAGCACAATTACAACTACAAACTCCATAAACGGATAATGAGTCTTTTTATTGTATTTATTACAATCAGCTCTAGCTTGCTTTCGTTCCGCACCAATCTCGGGGATTTTGACGGAAAGTAAGCAAAATTGGATTAAACTCTTCTTCGAAAGTATCGACTTTGCTAGGGTTAATTCTCGCATCCATACATATCGCTCAGCTTCCCCAACTTGACATCAGAGCTCATACGGTATGGTATCTCTGCACGGATCGTCAAATCCCCTCTATCTCTCAATATGCTAAAGCGATCTAGGTACGGAAGTCGAACATGCAGTCGAGGCAGTCTTTCATCCCCTCATATATGTGGAACCGCTTGGGTCTAAATCGGAAACTTGTATATGAAAAAAAATTCTACATCTGTATCTTATCATGACTGATCCTCTTAATGTCTGAATAGTTACCCACTACGACGAGGTTGCTTATATCATGGAGGGTCGACAAATCCAGATTCTGACCGTAGTGACCGTGGGTCTGTTTTTTTCTTGGTTGAGTGTTGGATTGCGATGTTATACGAGGACAATCGTTTCGAGGACTTTTGGAAGTGATGATTATTGGATTCTTCTTGGGTTGGTGAGTGGATCCGAAAATATAATGATGGCGTTGGAATCTCAAGCAAGTTTCAACTAATCGAACTTACAGGCCGGGCATACTGCCGCATCAGTGTTTGCATACCTTGGTGTTAATTATGGAATTGGAGTGCATGCAGTTCAGCTCACTTACGATCAGTTGATCAATGCTGCAAAGGTATACATTATGAATTATATCCTTTGTTAATTTGCCATGCGTAGAAAGATTTTAACACATCCAGTATCAAGTTATCGTCGAACTCGGCTATATTCTTTGCACAGCCATTATAAAAACGAGCGTCGGGTTGCTCCTCCTTCGCATTACTTCTGTCAAGACCTTTTACAAATATCTCATCTGGACCAGTCTGGTTATAGTATGGATATGGACAATAGTTACATTTGCTATTGGTTGTGCACAATGCAGACCATTAAAAGCAGCATGGGATACAGTAACTCCAGGAGTCTGTCTCGAACCTCGTATCATTGCGAATTTTGCATATGCCATCTCGGCCGAGACGATTTTCTTTGACTGGCTTTTTGCCTTGTTGCCAATACCGATGTTGTGGAAAATCAAGATGAGTCTTCGGCTGAAGTTCTCGATTATGATTATTCTGAGTTTGGGAATTGTGTAAGGAAACAATCTATCGTCTTTGTAGTTACAGGGAAACTGACATGAAGCTGTGCCTTAATAGTGCGAGTGCTGTTACGATTGTTCGTCTTAAGTATCTGGTGGCTTTTCTGAACGTTACAGATTCATTGTGTAAGTTTTTTTCTTGCTAGCGTTATCATTCAAAATAATAACACACGCGTAAACTCACTTCGTTGACTAATATCTCATCTCCCACACAAAGATTCTATCGCTCCCGTTTTCATCTGGTCCACGATTGAGATTGCCCTCGGCATAGTCGCTGCATCAATCGCCACCCTCCGTCCTCTTCTTCGCAGCTGGAAAATCCTTGGTTTCTCTAGCGAGGAAAGCTCAGATACCGAACCTGGAGGCCCACGATCGGGTTCTTGGAGTGGATTCAAGAAAACTCCTCCTGGTGGGAGTAACCCCATTGCGAGTCGTCAGTCAAATGAATTAACTCTGGGGACTACTATTCATACGCAATCTTCGAATCTGAAGACAGTTACGAGTTGGAGTGGGCAAAGTGGATACAGTGAGGAGAGAATCTTGGGGAGTCCGAATAGAAGATTTACTGATAATGAAAGGAGAGGGGAACGGGAAAATGAGGAATATGAATTAGTCTCGAGGCCGAATGACAGAATTGAGAAGCGGACGGAGATTCAGATTGAATATGATGAGAGAATGAGTTATTTGGAGAGGGATATGGTTTGATTTGCATTTGATATTAATGATGAAATGTAAAATATCTTGTATAATGATGGCGTTGGTAGATATGTGCATAAAAGGAAGGAAAGTTAAATGCATCTGAGTTGAAGGAGACCAACAAAATATACCCTCCGAGTGAACTATATATATGTTTATATTAGCAAGTCTTTTCCTTTTATTTTATTTTCAAAATCCACCTCCTTATGAGTATGTCTTTCTCATTCATCAATCTCTAAAGTCAAGAATAGTCTTCTTGATATCATTCTTGCTTTAGCGACGGAAGTTATTTAAAAGATACACGGCTATTATGGCAGATTAACATTCCCAATTTTGCGATATCAAAAGGAGGCGAACACAAATAACTTATGGGTACCCTATCAAAACTGACGCCTCGAGAGTCAAAAAGAGTAGTTGATATTTAGAATCCATTTTGTTGACTTTGAAGTCCAAGTGAGGGACCAAAGCATCTATTCAGAATCCTGCTTTCTAAGCCCCATTTTGTGAGATTATCGATTTAACGCTCGCTTAGTATCTGTGTAATTGATGCGCTTATTATAATTCATCATTCATCATTCATTATTCATTCTTTCTACAATAGTAGTACTTTATTAATGAGATTTCTCGCTTCATTCTTCTCAACATTTTCTGCTGGGAAGAGAGCAGCAAGGAGTTGAAAAGCCTGATAACAATGATGGATTTTGACTTTAGTAATATACCTATTCCTTCTTGACAGATAAAATATTCTGGTTTGTAATGGCTCGGCTTAATCTGGGATATAGAGAGTGGTTTATCGCTCAGTCAGTCAGTGTGTAGAGTCACTTTATATCCCCTTTTCCCTCTTCCATACACACATATATTAATACAACAGATAAGATGTCAATCCCTCGAGATCCACCGATCCTTTGAATTTAGAAGATTAAATAATACTATACTCATCGTATATTCCCCTTCATTATTTCCCCTTCTCATTAATAAAAGGAGCAAGAGTATTCAAGCGACCATACCTACATCCGGTAATTTTCGCATCAGCAATCAATAACATGAGAGAATTCCAAGATGGATATATATCAATCTTGTAGAAATAGTTTATCTCTAACTCACCATAACATACACAAGGATATCTATCATACCTTTTTATTCTGTGAATGAAAAAACTCAATATCTCATTTCCCTACAATTGCTACAATTGCTATGCTAGTATTTGATCATACCTCTACTCAGGTATTATTTAACCATACCCCAATCCAAAAATCGAGAAATCCTAGAAAATAGCACGGAGAATTTCCTTAGTTGATTGATCACATACTTTCAACACCTTCTAAACGAAAAGTTCTCGCTACTATATATTAATCATTCACATAAACCTAAACAACAAAGCCATCAATCCCATCTTTCTCCACAAATGCGGCAGATTTCTTTGTTCTCATGAATTTTTCTTGTAAAGCCATCTGTAACAAAGCTGATACCTGTTAATTTTCTTTCAGCATTATCAATCAGTAGCTCAGTATTCTTCAAGCTATTAACACCCATTTCATTCAATTCCAATTCCAATTTCAATTCCAAGCACAGAACTTACAACATGTCGTCCAAATTTCAAATCCCAGAATAGTAAAAATCCATTCAAACTCAAAAACTCACTGAACTCACCGAACAAAACAGAACCGTGCGGGTGCAGCAAAAACCCAAACCCAAACCCTCCCATCCCCATCTCCCCAACATCTCGCAACTCTCCCGTCTATTCATCATAAGCAACACACTCAATTACTGCTACCTCTACCTCTCCCTCATAATCACCATCTACACCGCATCACCCCACAACCCCTCACTAATCGGAGCTCCTCGCATCCCCCCCAAAATTCTCCTCCTCCTCGGGAATCTTCGCGAGATGGCCAGGAGATTTTTCCAAGCATTGGGATTATTCCATAATCCGGCTCCAGCCGCCCCAGCACCCCCCGCAGATCCAGATGACCAAGAAGAAACCTCAGACTCAGAACCAAACGATGGTCATGATCCCTCAGACCCCGACGACGACGATGATGATAATTCCTCTCACCACTCTTCTCAAAATACACCCTCCCATTCTTCCTCCTCGCACTCCGATTCCCATCCAGCAACTCCCCCCTCCCCACCCCAGAAAACCACCCTCAAGAAACGCGACATCCGTGAATCTGAAGAAAGACTAGCGCATTATTATCAATCGTTGCAAAAGGAACCGAAGAGTATTAGACGGAATAAGTGGAGAGAAGATCCAAGGTTGGGGGGGTTGGAAAATCAGGTTTTTGAGGGGATTTTGGGGGTGGGTGGGTTTGGGAGTGTTTGTATGTTATTTTTTATTGGTTTTTTATTTTTGTGCTTGTTGTTTTTTTGGGGAGATTTAGATTTTTGTGCTTGCTTTTTTGTTGGATGTTTTCTGGAGAAGGAGTCGAATGGGATGAGGGGTATTTGATTTACCTGCGTTTGAGCGTTGAGAAAGAACGAAATAGATCAGATAACCAGCGCTAGAGCACAGTATTCTCGCTACCCCTATCCCATTACATCCCCAAAAATCCAAACTCACAAGCTAACCCCCTCCCCCACTCTAGACCTCGTTCTCAACACTCTCACCCAAAAACGCTACGCTCTAAAACTCCAATCTGAAACCACCGACCAACGTCTCTCGCGGCGCAAACGCGAAAAGCCCCCTACTCCACACACTCCACCCGATCCCCTCTCGCACACACCCCCCATCACCCCATCCTCTGAAGCAACCATCACCTCACCCACCCTAATCACCTCCCGCAATCTTCTCTCCAAACGCTACCGCGAAAACCGGTGTTATCTGCAATACATCAAAAGCGGACATCCATACATCTGCGCCCTCGACGCCTTTCTCGATTTTACATCGCAATTCGGGGCCGTGGAAGAACGAGGAATCGTGATGTTTGCTTCTTATTACGAGTACTGCGATGGAGGCGATCTCTTCCGCATCCTCAACGGATATCACGAAGGACATCGAAAAACTGACGGCGCAAAGGCAGACAGAGAAATGGCCAATCTCGTCAACATAGGCCGGGCCTGGCGACACGAACCCTATGTCCCTCTCCCTACCGTAGCAGAGCGTGTTTTCCCTCCCGAACTCTTCCTCTGGCACATATTTTCACAGCTCATCTCCGCGATTCTCTTTCTACACAACGAACATACCGATTACAATACGCTTCCGGAACATAAAAATCGCGCCATGATCATCACCATGGATCTCGCACCGCAGAATGTGTTTCTGCAATGGCCGGCTCATGCCGTCACCCCGGAGCAGCGACGAAATGTATACCCCAATATCAAGGTTGGGGATTTTGGGACGGCGAATTTTCTTCCCCCCGGAGGACGCATTCCCACCGAAGAGGGCGTTGAGACTGAGACCCCAGATGAAGAATTCTATGATGCGCGCACGGATGTGTGGACGGTGGGGAATATGATATATCAGTTTGCGACGCGAGTGCAAGGTGATAAGCCGAAAGAAGATATTGAGGGGATATATAGTGCGCAGTTGAATAAAGTAGTTGGGGCAGCGACGGAGAAGGATCGGGAAGAGAGGATCGAGGAGAAGAAATTAGGAAGGCTTCTGCAAATGGGGTATGAGAAAAGGATTCCGCATATGTTTAAGAGTCTTCCCGATTGGGCCATCTCCCAGGAAAATGTACTCAAGTATCGATTTTCGGAACAGCATGTGAAGAAATTGTGGGAGCGGGATTGGAATTTGAAGATTGAGGAGGAGGAGGAGGAGGCGGCAAAGGCGGAGGATGATGAGGAGAGAATATTTCATTTGATGTTACTAGTGAAGGAGAGGAAGTTGAGATTTGGGATTGAGTTGGAGGAGGATGAGGTGGATGATGAGGAGCATCCGGTGTGGATACAGGGGTTGAAAGATGAAGAGCCGGAGCTCTATGCGGAACTTTTGGCTGAGGCGAGAATAGCGGTGCCGAGTCCTGAGGTGCCGGATTCGGGAGAGGGTGAGGGGGAGGTGGTTGTGGAATGAGGCGTGAGATGGGTGTTTAATGTTTATTCAATTTCCATGTTATCCAAACTTTCTCTGATAAAGGGTTGATCATCTCAACGAACTACCTCTAGAAACAATACATACGAGCTTTTAGTTCGAGTAATTATACACGTATCAAGATATACAAAAATAATGAATCCAAGATGCTAGATATATAGCTGAGTTTGATAAAATAAAAAATTAGAGGGAGAGAAGTAGAAAAGTATCTAGTACGGTTGAACAAAAAACTACAATGTAGTGATTTTCAATGGGAAAGTTCAAAGATTTTGTATATAAAATCACATTCACAGTTGCACCACCACATTCCAAATGAACAAAAATTAAATATTGAATATGTGAATTTATTAGAAATTTATGTCTCCATTTCATTTCGAGTTGTGGTATCGTATTCATCCATCCATCCCTCAATCTCATCTAAGAAAAGGAAGAGAGGAAAGCCACCCATGCAATTGCCAGCAAAAAGCGTGTATAAATAAGTTTCATCTATCAAGATGTTCATAATCCCATCCCAAACACCCCAAACCATCCCATTTCACCTTTTTAAATTTCCCAAGGTATCATTAAGGACAATGGAAATCCTTTAGATAGTTTCCTTTTGCTCAACACTCATCACCTTATCTCCATCATAATGAACTTGTTCAACTACACCACCTGCACCTCCTCCCATAAATTCAGCTGCAACGACATCCTTAATTCTCATGATGTGTCTTCCATGTCTAATCCAGTGGAAAGTAACATATCCCAATACATAAACGAATCCAACCAATGGAACCACATACGAGATTCTAGTGCCGGCAGAATCGGCAATAGCACCTTGAATAGGAGGGAAGACAGCTCCACCAGATACACCCATGACGAGAATACCTGCACCACGACGAGTATGACGACCGAGATTGGCTGTACCCATGGTGAAGAGAGTAGGATACATAGGAGCTTCGAAGAAGAAGAGAAGGATGAGGATAACCACAGCGCCATTTCCGTGCCATGCAGCTACAACAGCTGTGAAAGCGATAGCAAAGGTGGAGTAGATGATCATGAGGAAATCAGCTTGGAAAACGGTTGCGAGAGCAGTGGCGATGAATCGACCAACGGTGAAAGTGATTAAAGCGTAGGAAAGCATGTTAGAAGCCTGGGAGGAAGAGTACGATGCATTCTCGGTAGCGTAATTGATGAAGAATGATGCAACAGTGACTTGAGCACCAACGTAGCAGAATTGAGCAATGAAGGCAAAGATCATGTTGTATTGCTTATAGATTGGCCCTTGACCGATTTCATGTCCAAACTCATCGAGGGCCAAGTTCTCAGTCTTAACGGTGCTGGATTCGAGCATTTCTTCGGAAACTTCAGGAAGTTTGGCGACAAGGAAGAGAACGGCGATGGCGGCACCAGCGCATGCAACTGCCAGGTAGACGAACTGAACATTGGTTAAGTTGTGAGCATTTTCATCCGAGAAGAAGTATTTTCCGGCAATCAATGGACCGATGAATGAAGCAACTCCATTCCATGATTGACAGAATTGAAGACGAGCTGATGCGGATGCTGGGTCACCGATCACAACCGCATAGGAATTGGCGGCAGTTTCGAGAGTAGCAAGTCCACATGCAATGACCAATGTACAAGCACAGAAACCACCAAATGAGGCAATCCTATTTTCGTATGTAGAGAAATGAGCAGTTGGCCTGGATTTTATGTTAGCTATGGTTCGAGTGGTACAAAGCTGTGAATCAATGCCAAGACTCACCAAAACATAATGGCACCAAGAGAGTAAAGTGAAAGACCCATCAAGATAGTAATCTTGTAACCCTTGCGCTTCATGACTTCGGCGGCAATGGGAGAGAAGAGAAGATAACCGCCACCGAAGTAAACGACTTGAAGACCGGTAGATTGAAGCTTGGTGATATCGAGAACTGTTTGGAAATGTTTATTGAGAACGTCGAGTAAACCATAAGAGAAACCCCATAGGAAGAATAGAGAAATGACGAGGGAGAGAGGAAGGATGAGAGCTTTTCCACGAAGGAAACCCGTTGAAAGGGGTGTAGTGGAAATTGGAATTCCACCGGCCATTTTGAAGGTATTGAAGGGAAGTGTTGTTGTTGTTGTTATTGAGGTGAAGAGTATAGAGAGAATATGAGGTTCTTATTGAAAAGAGAGAGGATGAATTGATGATGATGATGATGATGATGATGTTGTTGTTGTTGTTGTTGATGTTGTTGATGTTGTATTTAGAGCTGGGTTACTCTATCTTTATAGTATTTCCAAAGACGAACTTCCCCAAACCCCAGTCTCCATCCAATTACCCCAGACCCATCATTCAATCCACTCATCCACCTCCATCCACCTCCACCTACCACTGGAGATGTTCATCATTCGACTCTATACTTTTTAACCCTAGACCTTGAATAATTTGATCCAATCAAGCAGACTGAATCACCATGATTGCATAAGGGTATCCACACTTCTGAAATATAGAATTATTCAAATTCAAATGATATACAAAGTCGGAGTGAATGTATTCTTACCTAGCTCGGCCTAGGTAAGATCCTTACTATTTTCTACCTATCCCGTACTTCCAGAATATCGGGAGATACCTAGACAGACAGGTGTTTTGACCGTCTGAGTTTCCTAAGTACGTCTAAGCCATATTCATACTGCAGTACACGATCTCGTCTCAAAAGAAAGTTTTGACTTGCTTTGATTGGCTATTTTGCCATTGGTTTTCTATTCGAAGGGAGAGATACCTAGTCAGATATTTTGATTCGCCTAAGGACACTCCGAAAATATGATCGAACAAGGAAACTCCCGCAGCTGATCTATTGAAGAAGTGCGAAAGGTGGAAGAAAAAGCTGGGAAGATCTGGAGAAGCCAAGAGACCTAATGCAAGTATGGAAAAGCTAGAAGAACTAAGGCAAATCGAGGAAAGCTTCATGTGAAAGCTTAACCATTTAGCATGATTTCCTCGACACATTTACCCGGACCAATCCTTCGATTGGGTCAAGTTTCTTCTTCTCCAGACTATCATCTACATCGTACATGATCTTCCTACTGTCCCAGCATTATGGCCCTGGTCATCGGGGTTATTATGGATCTTGGAGACATCGAAGTGTTGGACTTGGATGCAATTCCAACCTCGAATGCTTCATTGATCAAAGGGGAAACATCCAGATTGGCATCTAGTCGGTAATGGTTTGAATGAGGTCGAGGTCAAGTGACCACGATCATGTAAGTATCCAGGTATGTGCAAGAGGGGCAATAATATCAAATTTCCCCAAAGATCCACTCGTACACGGACTGAAGTTGGTGGGGAAGACAGGGAAGATAGGAAAGACAGGGAGGATAGGAAAGACAAGGAACAGAGAGAATGGCGCGGGGGATGTTCATGACCTAGTCGAAGAGAATCAACCAATCATCATTCATCTACGTGATCAAAGATGTAATCAGCATCTTTCATTCTTTCTCATGTACCTACGAATAGGCTACTCGAATACCTCCTCGTCTCTTCCAATCATGACCCCTTTATCATTGGATCCTCGCTGAATCTCATGCTGAATCTCATCCAGGACTCATGCATACCCGTACATATCTTTTCTGCATTGCGATAACATGGTATCAATCAAGACCATATGAAAACGATCATTGATAGACGGACATGCCGAAGAAAATGGGAGGAAAATTCTCTGATATTGCGTCTGCATGGTATTTGAATATTGGAATCTAGACAACGCCCGTGAGCAATCTAGTATGCAATTCTAAACCTTCTAGTCTGCTTCTAGTTCAATTCTAGCGCTATCTTCTCGTCTAGCGTAAATTCAATGCCATCTTCAAGCATCTTTTGACGCTAATTATGGCACTTCATCGGCAAACACGAGGCTTCAATTTTTATCAATATTACTTTCCTTTTCTCTCGCTGGCTGAACTTTATTTTTTTCTGTCTTCGCCCAGAACACTATCACCAAGAACAAAACACATTCATCATCGGTTGATCGTTAATGCAATGACTAAAAGGCTTCTAGAAGCTTATCAAAACTTCAAAGAGGCTTAATGTAGTGTGACTTCCATCATGCCACAATCTTCATGTGGCTGGAAACTTCTCTAGGAGGCAAATACGATTGAGGAACATATGAAAGTGTTAGGCGACGAGATGTTTGATGCTCTGTCCTAGATCGGAACTTTATGGTTGGGTTACACTCGACAATTGGTGATTGTGGCTTGCTTCAAGTGGGTTATTCATCATCATTTGGAATGTCATCTCATCACATTAATTTTGTCTGTGGCCTTCATCGCATAGCTACGTCTGATGATACATCAATCTTCATGCTAGAGCAGATGGGTACTCATACTATTCTTTGGTCTTTCTCACACGCATCCACTTCCTAACAACCTGGAACGAAGTCGAGACTCTTATCCATCACTTCCCAGATCCATTGACCTCCATCCGCGCAATTTCCCCATATCCACTATTGATCCCCATCAGTAAACTCATGATTCATTCCCCAAAGCTTCATCCCCTTTCGTCTCCAGGTGGAGAAGCGAGCGCACTCCACGGATCCACTTCCTTGGTGTGTACTCTCAGTAGCGGTATCCTACCTAGTCGAGCACGCGGGACACTCGATCTGTGCTGGGAGCGGGATTCTCATAATCCATGATAGGCCCGATTCCTCCAGACTCGTCGTGTTTAGCTTTGGGGAAATATTGACGAAGTTAGTACAAAGTCTTAAGCCACCGGAGTGAATATTAGAGTTCAATAAATGAGAAAGTCTTGTGTGGGAGTATTGCTCTGCTCCGAGCTCGCTTCACTTAGCTCTATGGCTTTGTATCTCGAAGAATTAGTGGGACTTGATGAACTTTACATTCTCGTTTTGTGTTGAGAAAATAGGGGATTGGATTTTGTGTGCTTTTTCTCCTTGGTAAGTCAAGTAAACTCATCACCTTCCAGTCGAATCGAGTACACAACCGTATGATATCTTCATTCATTAATCTCTCCCAGAAGAAAAGCCCGCCCTTTCCACTTTCCTCGAAATATCTCAAAGTAGAGATCCATTATTGTTCTTATCTTGAAGCCAACAGACATTTACAAATCCTCTATGAAATCAACAAGTAAGATCTAATCTATACTGAAGTCACGGAAGAACCTAGTATAATTCACCAAATATGAAATTATCATTTTTGACTCTGCTTATTGCCTATTCATAAGGAGATTTGCCAGTCTACAAATCCTAGATCAACATTCAGAGACAAATCGGACTTTGTATATTTCTTACGACGTTCTTGTCTCTAGAATGATACTACAATTTGATCTCTCGTTTGATCCAAGAATACTCAAAAATTTCATTTTTCATTCTAACATTGATGATATTTACGCTTGATATCAAAAAGAGAACAGACGAGAATGGGCCAATAGACCAGTCCACATTCTAGTCGAGAATTCAAATTAAGGGGAGTTAAGGATCATATAACTATGTTTTTCCTGTCGCACATACCGTATGAAGGTTATCTCTTCTCGTCCTTCCTTTCAGCAACAATTGGAATATCTGTATATCATCCATCCCTCTTGAATTTTCTTCATAAGATACTCTTATACGAGCTCTTATTTACATAGTGACTCCTCCAATACGATACTATACCTTTTCATTTAGATCCACTGATTGAGACTTGCTGAAATAGTTTCTGACAATTCTAGCCCGTCTGAATGGTGTGCTACTCACAATACAAGCTCGGGGTTGGGTTGAGAACGTGTTTGGTTACAGTTTACTAAACTTGAGATGAGATCAAGACAGTGATTTAGATACGTAAACAAATATATACTCTCACAACTCATGAGATTGTCCAGATCCATCAAACTCTTGCAATCAACTCCAACCTCTTTCATACATTATATGTGTTTCCGCAAATGAAAGAGAGAAGTATCTCCCAACACGATACATACTCCTGTACATACATTTATCCATCCCATCTCTATTCTTCTACCCCTTTTAATGAAGAAGTAAAGATTCATCAACATTCATTATTCTCATGGAAAGCTACCTCCCTCTTCTTCATACCAACCTGTCTCTTGCTAACATAGAAGGAAGTTCTCCTTTCATCTTCATCTTCATCTCTACCGATGTATCTTCCATATCCCATCTTGCGTCTCAACTCATCTCGAAATTACAAACCCCTCTCACTCCAAATCTCGAAATTCAACAAAAGTCTTCCCCATACAAAATAAGATACTAGGTAATTCCTGGACCGCAAAGTATATATACATATGATGTATCGATATACTTTCAGTGGATTCCGCTGAAACTCTTTCTCCTTTTACCAACTTACAAATTCCTCTTACAAATATACCATTCTCTTCTCTTCTCCTCTCCTCTCCCTCCTTCCCTCCCCTCCCCTCTTCCCTCCCCCCCTTTCCACCTCCATCTCACTCTAACCTTACCACACCTCACTTTAAATTATCTCTCTCCCTCTCTCCCTCTCTCCCTCTCTCCCTATCTCCCTCTCTCCCTCTCTCCCTTATCCCCTATCCCTTATCCCCTATCCCCTCTTTCAACTCAATATCTCTACTTCCCCCATCTCTATCTAACCTTATCCTATCTCCTTTCCCTCTAATCCAATCTTGTCCCACCCCCTCTCATTACCTCTTCTTCACCTCTCCAAATCTCTTTCTCAATTCCTCAATCTACAAATACCTACTTATATAATATAATATAACATTCATATCAATCATACTCAACTATCTACAATCAAGTCTCCAATTCTGCAATTTTGTATTCCTCATCTAATCACTCCCCAAAATCCATACATAACCAAACTAATGAATCATATGACCACAAAAAATAAGCAAAAACATGAAGCCCAAGAATCTTAACAGATTAAAACGAATGTACTGCGGAACTCTTGAGTACCAAAAAAGGAGCAAAGTCAAAAAGACCAAGAATCTTAACAGATTGAAGTGAATCACTACACTCTAGAATTCTCGAGTATTAAAAAAACACTTCCATTCTTGATATAAAGACCTTTTGAATCTTGTAACCTTACTACTCTTAAGAACGTCTCTCAAAACTAATCCATACCATCCATCCACAATCCCCCCCCGTCTCCTTCCCTCCCCCCCCCTCCCCCTCACAACCACACCCTAAACCTTCAACAACAATTTCCCCATCGTCCTCCTCCCCTCAATATCCGTATGCGCCCTCCTCACCTCCTCCAAAGGATAAATCTCATGAATCCTCACATTCAACTTATCCTTAATAATAAAATCAAAGAGTTCCGCCGTGTACCTCTCAAATTCTTCACGGGTAGCGATATATCCGAAAAGTGTTGGACGAAGAACCTTTAGATTCTTTGCTGCGAGTTTAGAGATTGCGAAAGGGGGAACTGCTCCAGACTACAGATATTAGAGTTAGTAGAAATTCGAGGATTTGGAATCAAGGGGGGATGAATGATGAAAAAAGGAGAGAAAGAGAAAAAACTTACAGCATTACCAAAACTAACCACCGTCCCCTTTCTCCTCACCACTTCCAAATCCCCCTCAAATGTATCTTTCCCCACACTATCAAAAGCCGCATGAACCCCCTCTCCCCCTGTAATCTCCATTACCCTCTTAACAATATCCTCCTCCTTATTATTGATCCCCACCGTTGCCCCATTCTCCCTCGCCAACTCTATTTTCTCCTGCGAACTCGCCGTCGCTATAACCTTCGCACCCACCACTCTCAACAGCTGACACAACCACAAACCTACGCCCCCCGCTGCAGCATGCACCAAAATCCAATCATCGCGTTGCACATGGTATGCTTCGCGAATGAGGGTTAGAGCCGTGAGACCTTGAAGAATCGCTGCGGCGGCGATACCAGGAGCGAGTTCAGAGGGAATAGTGTGGACTTTTGCGGCGGGGACGACGGTATATTCGGCGTAGGCGGAGGTACCCAGATAGACTACTCGATCGTGGGGTTTGAGATTGGTGGTTGTGGAGGGGCCGAGGGAAACTATGGTGCCTTCTGCTTCGCGACCAAGGATTTCCGGTTTGGGAGAGGCATAGAGACCGGTGCGGAAATAGCTGGAGGGAAGAGGTTAGCGGATGGGGTTCGAATACTTGATTGAGGGTGGATTGTGTTGTGTATTGGATATACTCTGCGAGGAGTATGTATATCCATCCATCCATCCATCCATCACATCCCATCCCAAAACATCCCACCCAAACCAAACCTCAACATCCACAAAGCCCCAAAATAGGAAATCATAAAACCTACGTATCAATATAATTAACCCCCACAAACTCATTCTTCACCAACACCTCTCCCTCCCCTGGTACCGGCACCTGTACATCCAATCTATAATCCAGCACCTCCACACCCCCCGTCTTCTCAATCACCACCCCTTTCATTTTCTGCGGAATCTCAGACATATTTCTTTTCTGCAGAAATTGAAATTGAAATCCCAATTTCTTATTCTTATTCTCAAACTCAGTTTGGGAAGCGATGGATGGTCTGGTATTCTTGTGGAATTGGGGGGGTAATGTAACTAATGTTGATAAACGTGGGGGTTGTGAGATTACAAGGGTAAGGGTATTCGTGGTATAATATAATGACGAGTAGCGGTAAGGTTAGTTGTGCTCTTGGAACTTCTACCAAATGGTGAAGATTTGAAAATTCGTATAGACATGGAAAGGATCAGGAATCGGGTTAAGGAGAGAGAGAAGATTGGAAATCGGCTGAGATCTTACTTATAACGTATTATAACAACCCCCAACATTCGGAAGTATAGATTCGTCATGTTATACTGATGCTTAACAATCAGATAATCGGTTTTGGATTTCGGGGAGCTATCCCTGGAAGTACAGGGCGAGGGACGAGGGAAAAGAAGAACCCCGCACTTGTGTGATTGAGTTGTTACCACACGGGATCGAAAATGTAGATAATCTTGTAAGAGTCTACAGAGAGACAGAGTACTCAAATAGGTCATTATATATAACTAGCAAACTACTCCAAAGAAAAATAAATCGATACATCACAGTAAATTGCTAGATAGATGTTAAAACAAACAAACCCTGAAACCTGGGTAGGTATCTAAACTAGGTACCTACTTAAATCCCCTCTCCCCCTTTCCACTCACCAGTCATTCCCCTAGATGCATACGATCCATGGGTACAATCAATGCAATCACCTTTCCACCTACTTCCCGTTGAGGCTCTTCTCTCTTTCCCACTATTCAACTCTGAGTCTAATCCAGGCACTCACTATGCAAGCTCCCGGTGAGCTTATTCCAGACTAATCTACCCTACTGAATAGCACTACTACTTTAGCTCCCGCAAGTGTACTTGGTATATTTGAGCTTATCATTGTGACATTCTACTCTATGTTTTAGAGATTGATTGTTTTTCCTAACCCTATCCGTTATCACTTGATCATTCGCCATTTACTGTCGAGATAAATGCTAGCGACCATACAACTATACGACTACACGACTACACGACTACACGATTATACACACATCAACCTGCTCCAATAAGACGTAGATCGTGGGAAAATTGCTTCTAATTTTATTCTCTAATCGGTCGTGAATGAACTTATTTGATATCTATAACTAATATAACCTCATGTAAATGCTCAAAATTAATCATGAGGGCCCTCCTCAAACTGCAAAAACTGTGTTCAATAGGCCCTGCCCTCTAATTATTCTTCTTCTTCAAACTCTCCTTATAATCACTCAAAAGATTCTCCGGGAAAGCTTGACGATATCCTTGTGGGTTGTTACTAACCCATTTCCACAAATGCTCACAAGCATCTTCTAATGTCAACTCAGTCTTCCACTTCAATTCCTCATTCGCGCGAGTGGGATTGGCAGTCAAATCTAGAACATCACCTGCTCGGCGTTCAACTACTTGATATGGAAGGTCACGTCCTACAACATGGCTGAATGCTTTAACCATTTCGAAGACGGTAGATCCACGACCAGATCCCAAGTTCCATGCGCGAACACCTGGTTGTTGTTCGCGAAGGTGATTTAGAGCGGCGAGATGACCCTTTGCCAAATCGACAACGTGGATATAATCGCGAATAGCGGTACCGTCCCGAGAAGTATAGTCTAGAGAATTTTTTTGTTAGCTCTTGCTCAATCTGGAGGAAGGCCGAACCGAGGCTGGAGAGTAGAGAGTGGGAGGGTGGAGAATTGTAGTGGGGGGCGGAGAAGACTGGAGATTTCTTACCATCACCAAATACGAGCAATTTCTCTCGTTTTCCAGTAGCAACCTGGCCCAACAATGGCAAGAGGTTAAATGGGACACCTAGAGGATCTTCGCCCATGATACCACTTGGGTGAGCACCAGCTGGGTTGAAGTATCTCAGTAGTGCACCATTCCATTGCTCATATTTCTCTCCCTTCTTCTTCAAATTATTTCTTTGCGCATTGACATGATCCGTAATGACATCTTCAATTGTGCTCTTGGTGCGTCCGTATGGGTTTGTGGGTCCAATTGGACAATGTTCTGGAATCGGAATCATATTTGGAACCCGAGTCGCATCACCATAGACGGTGGCAGATGAAGAGAAGACGATATTGGTGACATCATATTTGCTCATGCATCTCAAGAGAGAGATTGTTCCACCAACATTAACGCGATAGTATTCAAGTGGGATTTCGGAAGATTCTCCCACTGCCTGTCGCACCAAAGTTGGTTAGTTTGATGATGTTGGTCATGAGATATAGAATCCACCCACCTTTAGAGCAGCAAAATGAATGACACTGTCAATCTTTGGATGAGCAGCAAAGACCTTCTCTAATTTTGCCTCATCTGTAATATCGACTTCGTAGAAATCTGGTCGCTTGCCGCATAGTGTTTCAATGCGATCCAATGCGACAACGGAAGAATTGTATAAACTATCAACAATTACAACATGATAGCCATGTTCCAGTAAGGCCAAAGTTGTAAAAGAGCCGATGTATCCAGTACCTCTATGGAGAGAAAAGCCAATTAGTAAGTAGTTCACCGTTGGTGGTTGGATGATCGATTGATTGATAGATAGATGGATGGATGGATAGATGGCGGGGTTAAATTTCGAGATTTCCCCAGTTTCTCCAACCATTTGTCTCGACTTGAGGGACCGTTTTGAAGATTTTGAAAATCTGCAGCATTATAGAAAAATGACTTACCCGGTGATTAAGACTGTTCCAACTGACATGATTGCTGTATGAACTGATTATTATTCTTTGGATTTTTTATTTTTTTTCAGAGAAGTTGGAAGAAAGGTATTAATAAGTTATTTAACCAACAGCGAGAGACAGGAATAATAAACTAAATAAGAGATTCTCGGTCATCGGGGGGCCTGCAGATCGATGGTGGGGCAACATTCGAAACTGCTGGATGTGCCAGGGATTAACGAGGATTGCCTCATTGTTAATAGATTGTTGATAGATTGTTGATAGATTGTTGATACATGGAAATTTAATCAGCGGTTACCTGAGTAATGATAATCGCATGTAATTTGCGGATAGACACAGGACAGAACAGAGTGAGAACAAGGAAAGAAGCATGAAATGAGATTGGGATTGAGCAACTGTAACAGTAACAGCAACACTCACCGAAACACTCACAGTAACAACAACTGGCCGACAATCCCATGGTCATAGAAAGCCATGTTACTTCACCAAGTAGAAGCATAACATGTGTTGGAATTGGTACCGGTATACGAACACACTCAAAGTACCAGGTATATTTTCACTCCCCATGCCGCCGCCACCGATTGGATTTCCATTATCCGCTCGAATGAAAGACGTTGCAGCAGAGGACTTTACGAGAGGCCGCTATTAATTGAGTCATTCATGCGAGTAAGAACTAGCTAAAGAGGACCCGCGGGGGATAGTGTTACCGTCAACGGGTGATTCCTAGTAGCAGGACTAGCAATATACTGGATCCTCCATTGTCGTCTGAGGTCGGACAATAGTGGGAGGAAGGAAACATGAGTAACCTTGGAACAGATGTCAATGTCGATGTCAATGTGAGTGTTAATGCTAATGCTGATGCTAATGCTAATGCCATTAGCTTTCGACTATTCGGTATATTTAGATCAGTATCTATCTATTTATGGAAGAGAGGAAAGAAAATCTTCCATCTGAAGTTTGGAACTAATGATTCCAAATTGATGAAACCTGCGTACGCTAATTGTATGGAGTAATGGTGGAACAATGGAGAAATGAGATGAGCCCACTACTGTTGATCTCCTGCCTTGTTCTCCGAACTTTGAAGTTCGTCATTTCTTTTTGATTGGGGCTAGATAGGTAAGGTTATCTATGAGACTGTGGCTTTGTGGCTTTGTGGCTAGTGACACAGAATCACATGCATGCATGACCTCGAGTAGCGCTTACATAATCATGCAGGTGATCTCAACTATTCTGCCTCCACGGCAGTGGCCCTCGGAGAGCCAGCGGAGCGTCACTTCAATTCAACCACCTTGAAAATATCGAGACACTGATATTTATGATATTTATGATATTCATTGATCTAAGATGATAAAGAAAGAAACCATATCAGTCATCGAGTACAAACATCGAGGAAAACTTCACCTACAATAGTTCTAGGAGACGTCTTGCAGAATCAATCAAGTATTCGATTTCATACGGTCTTCTTCCATTCCACCATACAATATGGTCTGAAGACTCTTCTACCGTTGAGATGTTACATACCTAGTATTCTCGACCCCCCGTCATTCTTTGTATCCAGCTATACCAGTATCTTCTTCCACTCCATCATTCTTCTGTCCTTTGCTGATATCACAAAGACTCTTGCTAAGATTCCTTTGTGATTTTTTGTTACAGCTTCACTGGTTGCTGCGTCATTTTTTCTCAAATATATCCTTTGACCTTTCCTTTATCTGTTTTGATGTTTTCTGATGTTTGTTTCTAGACCTTTGTATCTGAATGGCACCACAAGATAATTACCCCTCTCTAGGGAAAAAGGCGGGGAGGGATCGAGTCCCGAAATGAGCATAAAAAATGCCAAATCTTTTGTCTACAAGCTTGACCAAATTACCCAATCAAATTTCGACGAACGCCAAGCTGTTTGTCCTGCAGTAGTTGCTGTCTACGATGCTTTTTTGCTTCTGCCGCATATGGATTGCAACCGTTACCTTCTCTTATTTTACATGGGGCCTTGACAAATCATCCCAACGTGTGTCAAAGTTTACCTACAAATCTCAAGATGCAATGTTCAAATCAAAATTTCAACGCGGCGGATACATCCTCCCAAGCACAACCCATTCTTTCAAGTCAAAAAGAGCCTGTTTCAGGGGTAGGAGATTTAAGAAAATTTCTTGAATCGATAGCCCGCATGAGAAGTAATGAAGAGAAAACCGCTTACTGCTTTGAAACGCTTGAGGCATTAGATGTCAATTAAGATGACATATTTGAGTACATGAATACTGTCTTTAAAATACTCAAAAGCAACCCAGCTTGGTGGAAGGATAAATACACCGAAGAGACTCTCGACAATCAACTTCTATACATTCGCCTAGGGATAGAGCAGAACATACCTCGGATTCGCAAGCGTCGAATAGAAAGAGTCAATTATATAAAAGCTAGATGGTCGAAGTATGAAGGAGTATGCTCTTGGGTAGAGGATCCATCACAAACGAGTAATTTTCTTTTTCATTTGGCAAGAGTAGCAAAGAAGTTTCCCAATTACCCTGATGCTCTACATAGATTAAATGATGCTTTGATTCAACGCCTTTTGACATCCAAAAAGGGATCAAGGAATGGAAAGCGATTGCAAGGATCAGATTGTGAGAGGGCGATAAACATTGAAGGGGCACGGAGACACCCTAAATCAATGTATGAAAATCTACGATTGAGCATCAATTTATCAACAGGGTTATATGGCGATATGATTGAAGCCCAGTATCAAGATGACTCGATGAATATCTCTGCCAATATTCTTGATGGGACAACTCTGTTGGAGAAAAATGGTTTATATTTACAACCAGACACACCATATATTAAAGGTGCATCCGAGCTACCTCATGTTCAAGGGATGAACGGAATCGAACCTATTAGCATTGACACCAGACTCAATCACTCTTCTCGAGAATTATCAAGATACACTAGATTTGACGCGGAAGCGGATGAGCTTTCACCTTCTATTGATACTGACTCGGATGAGTCTATGATATCAAACTTTTCCGACACAGCTCGTCAGCTCATTTCCTGTAAATGCACAGTATCTTTTCGTCAAAAGATTGATACATTATACCGGACGCATAAATGGCGCCGTATGCCACCAGATGTTCTCAACGATGTTATGATTATGCTCAATGTTACTATCAGAAACCTGACGAGAGTTTGTTCAAGGCACCAACGGAAAATAGCTGTTTTATCTGGTCTCAAAGTTAAATACTGTAAACAGATCGAGTTAAACGATAGGATGAAAGCTTTAAATACGGCACGTCTCAACGGTGAAGAGGCGTTCAACGCACTTAAGATTGACGAGGCGAGTGGTTGGTTTTCAGATTTACATAGAGTACAACAAAAGTGTGATGCTTTGGGACATTATAAATTTGCTAAGCAGGCAAGTTGGCCTCCGAGGACCATTCAAGACCGTCTTTTCGATGATGATTTTCTGAAAAGAACCCTTTCATTCTTATTATCGTCGGGTGTTACAGGAGTGGAAAGTTGGGATTCTGATGCTGATATTTGCACCTGGGACGAGAAGGGATCTGTGAATATCCCAATATTCAAATGGTGGTGGGTGGCAAATGATGGAGAAGTAGCTCGCATTGTAGATGAAGATCTGGAGATGTATAAACATCACACTCGACAAGATTTTCATGGAAATGAAAACAAAGGCTGGCTCCCAATAGCTTTTCATTCCATAGCACAACAGCTAGTATCACAAGATCCAGTACATTACGCCACATATACGGCCTTAAGACCGGATCATTGGACGAGCTTATTGTCATATCCTTATTATGCAAAATACTCCGAGTTCGATGAAAATCATCCTACAACAGGTGGCTTTGAACATATCGATCAAAATGTGAACAAGCTTTTGAAAGGGGAATTTAACATAAATGCTCAAGTCCAAGGCTCCATTAGTCTCGATGACGAAGCTCTTCTTAACAGTACTAAGATCGTGCCTGGCTTTCACAAACCTGGGGTTCTCGCAGAATGGTGGGCAGGAATACCCGAAGACCACAAAAAAAGCGGTGCCGTAACACGCATCCCAACTATATCGAGCCCGCGACTTAACTGGGAACCGGTACCATGTCTCCACGGCGAAGCACGTTTTACCATGCCCCAAATCCCCCACGGTGCTCAACCCCGCTATCCGGATATGCCCAAACGCCGCACCATTCTTCCCTGGATGTCCCGCGTCGCGGAAGACCATATGACGCTTCCGAATACGGATAATGGGGCGGGGACAGTACAAGATGTTACGTTGGCGCGAGTAGCGTGCATGCCGCCTAAAGCGACACAAAGCGGAAAACCGATCTACAATTCGCATATTCCGTATAGGTTTCCGGGGTGTGTGAGATTGGATTCGTTGGGGGCATTGTCGGATGCACTGTTGGGATTGAGGAGGTGGGATGCGCCGGAGGTGGTGGAGGAGCAAGAGATTCTATTTGGGGAGGATAGAGAGCGGGCGAGGGAATTTATCGAGGAGTGGAGGGAGAATGCTACGAGGGCCGCAAAGAAGGCGTTTGAGATTGGGAAGAGAACGGAAATAAGGGGTTTTGGATCGGATTCTTATTGGATTGATAAGTAGGTTGGTGTATGTCTATTACTGGAAAGAAATGGAGAGGATATGTCAGGGGTGATGGTTCATCATTTATGAGCTATAGATGTCATGGTGCGAATCTAATGATATAACTTTGGTAGTAGGAGCAGTAAGTAGTCTGTCTTTTGGCATTTCTATAGTTGCAACAGTTCAACAATTCCTGAAATACAGTCTCATCAATACAGCTATCCATTGATGGAAGAATATCCAATTTCCAACACAAATTGTATTGTATTCATAGTAGTAACTCAAGATTCATTCAAACTTTGGTGATTTAAACAACATGATGGGTTTGAATACCTGTTTGCATCTGTTAACCCTAGGCAAGCTCTTACATAGATGGAATTAATTGACTTTCAGGCTACATAGATGAATCCCTCCTATCATTCAGGTTGTCGAAGTGATGTGACTTAATGAATATCTAATTTAATGAATATCAATGATAGAATAATCCCCATCGACCGTATCCATATTGTTTATTGTACTTGATTATGACCTACCTAGTAGTGTTTAATATCGGATATCGAATTGATGTACGCCTCTGTAGGTACTTGCCGTGTGATGGGAGCTGGAGCCCTTGTATGCAGTAATTGTGGCTGATCTGATCTGAGGCATTAAGCTTGCAGATTTGGCTAACGGATGGATTGACTGATTGATTTGCTTTGCTTTGTTCCTTAATCTTCAAAGTACAAAGAATCAACACCGAGGAATGGGGAAAAGAAAACACAAATAATCAAAGAAATAACTTCCTTTGTATCTTAAATATTTCCTTTCAATTGACTGAATTCAATCTTTACTTTGTACTCGATCAAGAAAAAAAGGTCTAATTCAATTTCCTAGCGAGAAACTCCGTTTGCATCATTAACTTAAATGGCCTTTGAAGCTATTGTGTCGTTCAATGTGTTCCGCGATATCGTGAACTCCATTATATCAACACGCGCCAAAGAATACAATCAACCATAATAATCACTGCGCATGCGAGTCAAATGCTTCACGAGATACCTTATTGATCTTGCTTCTTACTGAGACGCGTAGACGAAGATATTACCACCGTGTTTGGTGCGAAAAAGTGAATCTGCGCTTTCATTGTTCTTCTCGAGATTTATCCGAATAGCTTCAGAAGAGCTACGGGTTTGCGGGATCGAGAAGCAGCAGTACATCCAAAGTCTTCTCGCAATATATCTACTCACTCACTCTTTGCTTCTTGCTTTCTTCTAGAATCCGCAAGACGAGAATATTTCAGGTGCATATTGCGCATCACGATAGCTTCAAAGGTAGGCCCTTTGCCGTTCCCTCTCATCTCTTCCAGATACAACAGCTGCATGTGTTGGAGTGAGCTACTTATATTGACCTTATCGCTCGAAAATTTGATTAATTCTTACTAATTCACACACCTGCAGATATCAATCTCAACTCCAAGTTCTTCGAATACGCTCAATCGCCTCACGATATCACTGCTAAGATAGCAAGGTTACAACAAATTAACAAACAATGTCTACAAGACGTACTACCAGAGCTGGTAGCCGCACTGCTACTAGTGTTTCCGGATCAAATGCCGTTGGTCCTGAAGATATACCAGCAGCTCGAACACCAGGTAGAGGTCGTCCTAGGAAATCGGCTGGCTCAGTGATTGGTTCTGAACGCGGCGCTGGTCCTCCTCCTGTGGCAGCTTCTACAAGTACTGCGTACGGTACGAATACACTTGCACTCCCAAATTATGGCCCAAGAGCGGCCCCGTTGGCCAACGATATCTCTTCTGTTATTGAAGGTCTTTTGGAGCCAGAATCTTCTAGCAAGGGAGCCAAACCTAGAGCAAATCCTCCCGAAGAACCAATTCCTGATGGTAAGTCCACCCAATTCGATTCCTTTCCTCGGATTTTTTGCTAATTTTATAAGTTGATGCTCGTCCTGCCAAACCATTTCCTCATGCTCCTGCTCACATTCCCTCTATGCGCTCGAGGACTGGACCTGTTAAACGACGACTTCCTCCAAGTGTTGACCGAAATTTCCAGAATGAAAGCGCATTGTACGATAATGCTAGCATTATGTCTGATTCATACCAACAACAAGACTACGATTTCCATATCTCGGGCCCCTTGGATGAAGACGAGCTAAATCGTCGTACTGCATTACGAGATATCATGGAACAACAACAATACATGCGGGGTGGTGCTCGAACTGGGCCAATATTAGAGCTTAGGGATGGAACTGTTGTTGATGTCGGACAGGGTCTGAGATGGCCATTCAGGTTGTAAGTAAAATTGATATCGCTAATGCTGAAATCAAACTGACTATCTATAGTTTTGCAAGGCTTACAAAGGGCCTCTTCAATCTTTTTGGCGATATTACCAAGTCTTTAATACCGTTATTTCTTCTTGGCCTCATTGGCTTCATTGCATGGACTATCTTTTTGAATAGTGGCGAGCCTAGCCTACGTTGGTATGGCACTGATATGTCCTCGAACTTTGGACAGTTCATCCCATCGCAAATTAAACATCCCACTAGAATATTCGCCCCAGAGGAGCTCAAGGAAGTTTACCGCCGTCTGGATGCTGCGGAAGCTGATATAACGTTCCTCAAGCATCGTTCTTCAATTGACAAGAATGCTCTGGAAGAAATCCAGAAATTGCTTCCGGATTTCCTTGTCCTTGAAAAGGACTATGCTGGAAAACCAGCTCTTCCTGCAAAGCTTTGGCAAGCTATGCGAGACAAGATTCGAAGTGATCCATCTCTTATTCCGGAGCCTGTCTATGTTACTGCCGATAGTCCTTCCGCTGGTTCTCCTACTGGTCCCACAACCTCTCCCTCCCCATCTAACATTCGCAATGCTGAAGGCTTCAATGCCAAGACCTTTGATCGATATCTTGAAATTAATAGGCTTAAGATTCAGGGCTGGGCTGGCTCTGAATTTGATGCTCTTCATCAAGCTCGAATGCAACAACTTATCAAAGATGGTAAGATTGCATCAAGAGATGATGCCATCGAATTGATCAAAAAGGAATGGAAAGACAAGACAGCAGAGGTTAAGTTGGAGCTCCAAAAATACATTACAGATTTGCAAGACAAGGTCACAAATCTTGGAAAGAAAGTTCTCACCGCTGGGCAAGTAAGGGCAATTGCTAAAGAAGTTAGCTTAGCTCAAATCGAAGCTATTTCAGACGCAAATGTCAATCAAAAGACCGATCGACCCCTTCGACGTATGGATCATTTCGCCAAGCGATCCCATTCTGCTGTCATTCCTCGTCTCACCTCGCCTTCTTACCGTTTTCCACACATGGATTTTGGATTTGTTCACAGAAGTATTGCCTTGATCTTTAATCAACCTATCCCTCTCCCCAATTCTGCCGATACAGCTCTTACCGCATGGGATGAAATTGGTGATTGTTGGTGCTCACCACAACAAAATGGTAACGGCCCTACACTTGGTGTCGTAACGGCTAATCATATCTGGCCTGACCAAGTCGTTGTGGAACACTACCCTCAATCCGGTTACGTCAACTCAGGTCTCTCACCTCTCTCAGCACCAAGCCAAATGGAACTCCTAGTCTATCTCCCTCACACCCCTACTTTCGCGAAAGTCAAAGAGCGCTCTGATGAAATCTTCCCGGAAGCAAATTACGATGATCTTGAGTCTGGCTGGGTAAAGCTGGCCGATTGGACATACGATGCTTATGGTGGAAGCGTTCAATCTTTTCCGCTACAAGTAGATCTTAGAGATTTCGTCACGGAACCGGAAGATAATATCAAGAACGATACGTCTGCTAGTAATAAATTCTTGGTCAGAAGTAAAGGGAATCATGGCGATGGTAAGGTGCCTTATACTTGTCTTTATAGACTTAGGTTACATGGAGATGTGAGGCCCAATGAAAATACTCTCTACACGGGGGTTAGTGAAGATTGAGGAGGAGGATGTCTAAACTTATCTGGCATTTTTTTCTTTCTCGCATTTGTTTTGCTTTTGTTTGGTGAGGGCTTTACCTTGCTTGGGAAGGGGTGTATATGGTATGGTATGGTGCAAAATGGGATGGGATGGATGGATGGGACTGGACTGGGAAGGAAATCTTACTTGCCGCGCGATCACTTATTATATGAACAAAGCCGGATTGTACGCACATGGAGTGGGGTTTTGACACTTTTGGATGAGCGTGGGCGTATGAAGGATACATACATACATACCCTTCGTTTAGAGTGTGTATACACTGTACTTACTATATGTGGAACTCTGTACCTGTCTGTGGTCTGTGTGTTTGGTATGCAGACAGTTGTAACTCGGGTGAGGTAATGAAGAGGGAAATGTGTATTTTTGGGAATTTTTTGAGTGGTTTTTTGTTGTGTGACGTGATGTGATGTGATGTGTATGTGCAAGTATCGAATTTCAACACCATAGGTAATCTTTCGTGATAAAAATCATCTGATATTTTATCTTTCGAGAAGTATGGAGATGGAAGAGATAGAAACTATACATGACCCCCCCAAAAATGCAAATCCATATCCATATCCTCAATTACATTCACAAATCTAGAATCGATTAATCAATAATATAACCATACAAAACATGTAAAGATTTAGCGCTCTATACTGTACTGTACATCATGCCATCCTGTTCAATATATGTGGATCCTGTGTTCTCTTAAAGACCCTCTCGTGTCTAGTGGTATCATGCATATGCATCCATCCAATCACCCATCCCTTTTCTTTCTTCCTGTCCCGTATTCCATGTCTTTCCTCTCTATTCAGTACTCAGTATTCGAGTATGTCATATACCCCCGATAATTCTCTCTTATGCCTTTTCAGCTTCTAGCCTTTCGCTTCTAGCTTCTCACATCCTCTCATACCCCCATCCCTAATAATCTCTCCCCAATCTCTCTTCTTCATCCTCTACCAATTCATACGCAGGCCGGAATTTTATCTCTCCCTCTCCTTCTCCCTTGCTATCCTCAGCGACTAGTACAGGATTCGGATGCGTATCGGTTGTGCCTCCGAGTGAGGTGTAGCCTTGATCGTAGAGCGGACAGTAGGGGATATTGAGGTGGCGGATGAACTATGGGGGGGTTGTGTTAGTATTCTTTTGTGAGTGATTTCTAATTCTCTGAATTCGAGATCCCAGATCCTAGGATATGAAAAGAGCAAAGGAAAGAAGTAAGAGGGGGAGGGAAACCCCAAGAACGCATAATAATAATGACAATAAACTCACCCCCCAAATCTCCCGATAATGCCAATCAATCACCGGATGCACCCTCATAAACCGCGGCCATCCCCCATCCGTCAAATCAAAATGCGTCAGATCCGCACCATGCGGATCTGTCCTTCGGGTGCCCACCAAAATCGCCTTCACAACCGGGTGATCGTGTAAGTATTGCGTGAATGCTTCTTTCATCGGCGACGCGTAGCGCGAGAGTTGGAGATGGTAGTGTGCGGAAGAGGAGGCGACAAAGGTGTCGACTTCAGGGAAGGGATGCGGGGAGAGGATGTAGACGGAGGGGAGAGCGGGGGGGAGGGGTTTAGATTCCGATGAGGAGGATGAGGTGGATTGGTGATTGGAGAGCGCGGTGAGGAGCAGGATCAGTAGGACCAGACAGTCTTTTCCGCCGTTGTAGGAAAATGATATTTCTTCTAGACTATAAGGATTCACACATGTTAGCACAGTTTCAATAGGTATCTGATACTCAATTCCTCTCCTCCTCGCTCACAATCGCACACCCTCACAGGAAACATACCTATACCGTTCCAAACACTCCCTAATGACCCCCAGCGCAACCCTCGTCTGCTGCTGTACCCCCCTCAAAACCTCTTCCTCCTCTCCAAACTGTTCTTCCAGAAACCCATTTACCTTCCCCGCCACCTCATCGCATCTCTCTAGCAGATTGCCCACTTGATCTATATCCCCATTTGCATCTCCATCCCTATCCTCCTCCCCTCTCAACCCCAAGCCCGCAGCCTTCGTATCCGTATCCGGGTCCCCCCTCTCAGCGCAAGCAGCCTGCCATTGCTTTTCAATATGATTCTCATCTCTGTCCTGCATATCGGGTAATCCTCTCATATCATTATCTACCTGACCTTTAAACACCCATCTATCTCAATCTCTCAATCAGTCTCTCTCTGGCATAAATAAAAAATGAATTAAAAGCAAAGCAAGAAGAAAAGAAAAAGAAGTTCTGTACAACTTGAGGGTGGGAGGGTTCCCGCGCCGTCGGATCACCTCCGAGTCGAATTGGCTTTGGGGCTCCATAAAAATGTGAGGTAAGCTTCACATGGGCCGAACGACCAATCGTGGTGGTGTGAGCAGTGATTTACTGGGTGGAATGTGGGGGTTAGGTTTGGAGGGGTAGTTTTAGCCAAGATTCGGTGAGATGGGCTCGAGATGGGGTCGTGATATGCGATGCAATGAATATGTATATATTCAACACAATGACAACAAGAGGAGAAGAAAAGTCAAGAAGGGTATATAGAAATTCAATTCTGATCTGATTATCAACGCTCTTTTTAAATCTAATGTTACTCCTACTCCGAATGCCAAAATTAATTAAGAAGACCAGCAGCCAAAGCCTCCAGATCTTCCAATGTCTCGGGTTCATCCGCAGCTTCGATAACACGACTCTTTCTCTTAGCAACCTTTCTCTCATCATCTGAATCATCCTCAAACCATTTCTTAGGTCTCTTTGCAGGTCTTGCCGTACTATCTTCACCCTCTTCGTCTTCCGGTAGAGGTAAAGATCTAAGAAGAGCCATAGGATCTTCGTCATCTCCAGGACCAACCAATTCAGGCGCCTCATTATCGTCCTCTAATGCTGCTTCTCTTGCTTTACGTTTCTCACGCTTTTCTCGTTTCTTATCCTTTGCAGTTTGTTTATCAAGAAGATCTGCTTGACGAACTCTTTCTGCTTCTTCTGCCAAGAATTTAGCTCGTTGCTCCTCGGCTGGACCTCTGGCGCGGAAATCTTCTTCGTCTTCCAATTCGTATACTTGATGAGGATTGCCCTCTTCATCGAATACCAATTTCGTTCCTCTATCTTTGAGCTTGAGAAGCTTCTTCTTGGATTTAAGAAGTTTCTCTTTCCGTTTCGAGTCTATCACAATTGGATCCTTGCTAATACCCTCAATAACCTTTCCTAATGGCCCGGTCGCAGCAATATCGTCATCATCGTCGTCGTCGGAACTATCGTTGTTACCCACAGGTATCACTCTCTTAACTGACAAGAAGTCATTGTCCTCATCAGCGTCCGCGGTACCATCTACATCCTTCATAGGGGTATCTTCTGCGATCATCTTGGAGTAATGGCCAGACAAAACATCCTGGTTACGACGCTCAAACATTCTATCGTATTTCGTTCGGACTTCTTCTTTCCTTTTGGGTTTCTTTTCGGTTTCACTATCGTCGTCGCTAGATTCAATAGCAGCTCTTGGAGCATTTTTGACATTCTTCGCATCGTTTCCTTTCTGGAATTTAATCTTTGGCGCACCGGGAAGACCCATACTCGACGCAAAGCCCTCCAAATCAACCTTATTGATATTGAATATCTCCTTGTCTTTTTGTAAGAAGATGGATTTGGCATAACTGACAAATGCCTTCTGACCTAGGTACTTCAACTCTGGGTCCTGGAAGCACATATTTTGTAATTGATTCTTGATGTCTTGCGTCTTATTGGGTCGGATATTAATCTTTTGTATCGGTACTTTCTTATGTTCCAATCGTTTCAACATGCCCTCTTCCTCAGATGGGTCCAGAAACATGACTGCCCGGCCTACTTTCCCATAACGTGCAGTTCGACCAACTCTGTGAATATAGGTATCAGCATCCTCAGGGCAATCTAATTGAATTACCCAATCGACTGCAGGAAAGTCAAGACCTCTTGCAACAATATCTGTAGCAAATATACAAGAGTTTTTCGATGAAGAGAACTTTGAAGTAATGTCAAGCCTTGCGGTTTGCTTTTGCCTACCATGGAGATGAAGCAATGGAATACCAGGTTGTAAATGCCTCAAACTTTCGTAGACAAAACGCACTTGCTTGCCTGAAGACATGAATACTATTATTTTAGCCTTTAGGTTAGCTCTAATGAAGCCAAATAGCGTGTTAAGCTTTGCAGGTAAAGGCACCACACAATAATGCTGCTGTAATGTTGTGGGGGTGGCTGAGGATGCAGCTTCATGTACTGCGACATATTCGGGTTCCTTCAAACTCAATCTTGCTAGATCCGATACTCTCTTCGTTTGTGTGGCACTGAATAGCATCGTCTGCCTTTGTTTCGGTAGATGTTCCAGTATAGCGTCGACAGATGTTTGAAATCCCATATCCATAATTCGATCCGCCTCATCTAGGACTAACATTTGTAGGTTATCAACATCGAATGCCGCCGTTTGATCCATATGTTGTAACATGCGCCCAGGTGTACACACAAGTATATTCATCCTCCCCAGACGTTCTCTCTCTTCTTGCAGACTTCGGCCTCCGATGATCAATCCTGCGGAGAAAGTGTGGTATCGTCCAATTTTTCGCAAAACCTCGAAGATTTGGATGGCCAATTCACGAGTTGGAGATATAATGAGGGCACCGAGGCCATCTAATTCGGTCCATTTCTGCCTGTAAAGATTTTCCAATACCGGTACTAAAAATGCAAGAGTCTTTCCACTACCAGTTTTCGCAGCGCCCAGAATATCTTTTCCCTTGAGCGCAAGAGGTACAGCTTTCGATTGAACGTCCGTCAAAGTTTTGAAATGAGATGCTTCGAGTCCAGATGATGTCGGTTCTGATAGGGGAAGTTCAGAGAAGTTTTTGATTTCTGCTTTCGCATCCTGAGAGAGTAAGTAAATGTCGATAAGAAAGGTATTGTTGCACTTACAAGCTCATCGACTGATTTCTGAAGCTTTTCAAGATCTTCTATATCTCTTTTCCTTTTCAAAGTTTTGGAATCATTTTTGCCCTTGCTAACAATCTTGGACTTGCGTCCGGAAGCTGGTGGTGCCATGATTCTCAAATATTTATGTACAATATCAATTCATCGCTCACCGTCCAAAAATACTTCGAATATATTTTTCCAATCTGCCTCCAAAATTTAAGGTTTTGCGCTAATGAAAGCGGTGAATGCATGCACAGGCCAAATCAGAAAAAAAGTTGAACTGATAAGATTTTGGATATCTTCAATGCTTTGAATGCTGCTGTTTGGGCGAGCTGTGAAAAAAATACGACTCCCAAAATGCCTCGTCGTGCAGCTTCCCCCGCGCTTTCGGAGAATGATTTTGATATCACAAAATCTCTCTTCAATGATGATATCGACGGAGATGACGACAATTTCGGAAATACAACTACCAAAAATCTAGAACCTCTGGATGCTAACGGTATATTGGATCTGGGACTTGAGAGCGATGGAGATGGCGATGGAGCTTTTATATCGGCACAGCAATCAGCTGCGAACCGAAAGAATTCAAATGTGAAAGGGCAGAGTGTCAAGAAGGGTGGTGGATTTCAGGCAATGGGTATGAGATTCCTCTCTCTTTGTATTTTGCGCAAATGTGCTAATTTTTAACCAAGGATTGAATTCTCATTTGTTAAAGGCAATTAGTAGAAAAGGATTCAATGTACCTACACCTATTCAACGGAAAACGATACCCTTAGTCCTTGATAATCAAGATGTTGTTGGTATGGCTAGAACTGGTTCCGGAAAAACTGCCGCCTTCGTCATTCCAATGATTGAAAAGTTGAGAGCTCATAGTGTGCGTGTTGGTGCAAGAGCTCTAATTATGTCTCCATCTCGAGAATTGGCTTTACAAACATTGAAAGTTGTTAAGGAATTTGGACGAGGAACTGACCTTAAATGTGTACTACTTGTTGGAGGTGACAGTCTCGAAGAACAATTCGGATTTATGGCCGGAAATCCTGATATTGTTATTGCTACGCCTGGTCGTTTCTTACATTTGAAGGTTGAAATGTCTCTGGATCTATCGTCGATGAAATATGTTGTTTTTGATGAAGCCGATCGTCTATTCGAAATGGGGTTCGCTGCTCAATTGGGAGAAATTCTTCACGCCTTGCCAATTTCAAGACAAACTTTATTGTTTTCTGCAACCTTACCAAAGTCGCTGGTGGAATTTGCCAGAGCTGGTCTTCAAGAGCCAAGTTTGGTTCGTCTTGATGCAGAGAGCAAAGTTTCCCCGGATCTTCAGAGCGCATTTTTCAGTGTTAAAGGTGCTGAAAAAGAAGGTGCTTTGTTGCACATTCTCCAAGATTTGGTCAAAATGCCCACAGGTCTACCCGAGAATGCACTAAACGCAACAGATAGGTTTGACAAGAAGCGCAAGAGAGGTCCCGATGGCCCAAGTAGGAAACTAAAGCCTACAGAGCATTCAACCATCATATTCGCAGCTACGAAGCATCATGTCGACTACCTGGCTTCTCTACTTCGCATGTCTGGATTTGCTGTTTCTCATGCTTATGGTTCACTCGATCAAACCGCTAGAAATATCCAGGTTGAAGATTTCCGTACTGGAAAATCAAATATATTAGTAGTTACTGATGTCGCCGCTAGAGGTATTGATATTCCTGTCCTAGCAAATGTCATTAATTATGACTTTCCACCACAACCAAAGGTTTTCGTTCATCGAGTCGGTCGTACTGCAAGAGCTGGTCAACGGGGTTGGAGTTACAGCTTGGTCAGAGATACTGACGCGCCATACCTTCTCGATTTACAGCTATTTTTAGGAAGGAGATTACTTCTTGGACGCGAGTGTGGCGATTCACCAAACTACGCTGAAGATGTAATTGTTGGTGCTCTGCAGAGAAATGAGATAGAAAGCAAGTCGGAATGGATCACGAAACTTCTCTATGATGACGATGATCTTACCGCGCTTCGAAATGTATCAGCCAAGGGAGAAAAGCTCTACGTTAAGACCCGTAACTCGGCATCAAGCGAGAGTGCAAAGAGAGCTAAAGAAGTAGTAGCATCGAAAGGATGGATGGAACTGCATCCACTCTTTAAAGATGTAACCAATGGTGCTGAACAAGCTCGATTAGACATGCTCGCAAAAATTAGTGGATTCAGACCTAACGAGACTGTCTTTGAGATCGGGCAAAAAGGCAAAGCTGCTCACAGTGAGGCTGCTGAAATCATGCGACACCGAAGGGAGAAAATAATTCCAAGGCGACAGAAGGAGGAGGACGAAAAGGCAGCCGCAGCAGCAGAAGAATTAGATAACGATACAGCTATGGAGGTAGACGGCGACGACAATGACGATGATCATCTTGAGGTTACGGTTACCGGAGGAGATGACGACATGGTTGAGGCATCGGAAAACGAGCTTGAAGTTACCTTCTCGAAAGCATCCCAAAAAGGCAAAGGACGAACGCTATCTTGGAAAGACTCCGAAAATTTCATGTCATACACACCGAAAACTATCAATACTGCAGAAGAACGTGGATATGGTGTTCATTCGGGTTCATATAACACAGCATCTCAAAACTCAAATTTCGTCGAGGCAGCTAGAGGCGTCACTATGGACCTCACTAACGATGACGGGGCGAAATCCTTTGCCGAGCCCGCTAGAGCAAAGGGAATGAGATGGGATAAAAAGAACAGTAAATATGTTGCTCGAGCCAACGATGAGGATGGATCTAAAGGAACCAAATATATTCGTGGAGAGAGTGGTCAAAAGATTGCAGCTAGTTTCCAAAGTGGCCGATTCGATAGATGGCGTAAAGCACACAAGGTTGACCGTATGCCTCGAACAGGTGAAGCAGAACGCGAGGGCCCTGCCAGTGCTGGTGGTGTTGGACGAGGCTTCGGTACAAGATATAAGCACAAGCAAGAGAGAGCACCAAAGGAAGCTGATAAGTATCGTGATGATTACCATGTCAGGAAGAAGAGAGTTGCTGAGGCGAAGGAAAAGAGAGTTGGCTCATTCAAAGATGGTAGTGGAAAGTCGGAAATTAAGAGTACGGAGGATATTCGAAAGGATAGAAAGTTACAGGAGAGGAGGAAAGCAAAGAATGCTAGACCATCGAAGAAGGGTAAATATTAGTAATATAGCGTGCGCAGTGTATTGTTTACAGAAGTATAGATGGGTATTCTCCGCCCCATTCGTACCGCTTATTGAGGCCCTTGTGCTAATGTGTCAAATTGTGGATGAGAGTGAGAACTTGGTCGCGCATCAAGTGACTGCAGAAGGAACCAGATGCTTATTCTTTTATAAGGCTTATGGTCATACAAACTGCGACGCATTGGGGTGTCATGCAGCCAGTAGACGGGAGGGTGTACTTTATAGGTACATACAGTAAGCGGTTCTTGATAATTTCGTATCACACTAGCCAATATTTCACGTGGCTAGTAGTCAGTCTCGCTTTCGGATGGCATGGCTGGCATCCACGATTTAAAATGACATTATATTGCTATCTCCTCTGATCGTAGTCACAGGCTAGAAGACCCCATTCCACCACCAATATCGTGTCAAATATCACCGTTATTGGAAAATGCACAACACACGCTTGGCATCTAATTCACATCAACACGGATGTTCATCAACCACCCAATTCAACCCTCATGTTAAATATCAAGTTATCAATTTTCCCATTCTCTGAATATCTATCAATAGAAACCCAAGACTCAATGAACAAACAATTCGAAATTCTGCATAATATACATTTCAACTTGTAGGAAGACAGAAGTACCAGAAAATTGCTCAAATGCTTCAAATCGTTCTAGTGACACGTGAGTACCTGCTGAATTTCTATAAAAATGGAAGGAAAGAATGAAAATGGAAAATGGAAAATGGAAAATGATGATGAAATGAAAAACAAATGCCCGGAAAATGAAAATGAAAGAGAAATATCGTATCCAAATAGAAAATGGACAACAGAAAAAATCGTATAGCTGCAGTTACCCATCCAAATTGAACTTGCCAAGAACTTCCGTACTCACGAGAATGCATGCCCGTTTCCTCGATCGCTTTCTTCCTCTCCTCGCGCGATTCTTCCTTCGTACCCAACATCATTCTCATTCTCATTCTCATTCTCATTCTCATCTTCATCTCTTCCTCCTTGTCTTCGTCCCGCACTTCCATTCCCTACATCTCCATCGTTTAACCTTCTTCTTCTTCTGCTTCTTCTACTTCTCTCTAGATCATTACCCCTGGCGCTACCCTCACGCTGTTCATCTCTCCTCCTCAAACTCCTACTTTCCATCTCCAGAGAATCAAGCTCCTGACTCATCTTATCCTTATACCCCCACTCCACATCTGCGTCCGGGACGCCTAAGCCGGCATTGCTCAAGGCGTCTGAAGCGCGGCGTTTGCGGGATTCGTGGGCGGAGAGTGGAGACCAGGGAGAATCTTGCGATTGGTGATGGGGTTGTTGAGTTTGGGGGTGTGTTTCGAAAGTGAGAGTGGGAAGAGGGGGGAAGTTTGGTCTCATAGATGGGAGGTGGTGTGTTTGAGGTTGAGGTTGAGTCTGAGGGAGGTGGTATTGGGTTTGGGCTTGGTGGCATGGTAAAGGAGCTTGGGGTTCGTACTGAGAGGGTTGGAAGCGACGAAAATGTGGAAGAGGCGGTGGTGGTGTAGGAGCTGGTGGTGGTGGTGGGTAGGGGTATAGATGTGAGTCGTAGGTGTAGATGGATTCAGGCTGAGGTACATTTGTATGAGGTGGCATATGGGATGAATAGTTCTGTTGAACTTGAAGTTGAGAATGAGGTTGGGGCTGGGAGGTAGTTGTAGTTATATAAGGATGTAAGTATAAAGCAGATGTAGTAGGATATAACACAGGAACTAAGGCTCCGGGGTAGAGAGTTGGGTCATAGGACGATGGTGGTGCCGAGTAAGGCCTTTGAGTATGATGTGATAATGCTATTGTGGTTTCTTGATGTTCCTCATGTTGACTGGAGAGGACTATGCCTTGTGCCTGCTGTCCATGAGATGTCTCACAGCTCTGAGTTTCAGGTCTAGATGGCGATCCACTACTTCACAGCACGCCATTAGCCTAGCTCATCATTTCCACAAGCAACTAGAGCATGAAAGGAAAGTAGACAAACTCACTTCTGCCTCGAAGAACCAAAATCCGCACCATTTGAGCCAAAATCTGTAAAACGATATTCCTCCATACCGAGACTTGCGGCTTGAGCAGGCTGACTTCGACTATCTCGCTCGCTAGACTTATCCAATCCGCTTCGTAGACGCATGCATACGTATTCAAGTAGCTCAGATGCTTAACCCAGCTAGAACAAGACTAAAAAGTACAGGCAAATGGAAGTAGAGTCCCGATAGGCGAGATGACGATCTTACTTATACAAAGTCTTGAATTCAGATTCCCATATTACATATTACATGCATGAATTATCTCGACAACATTTCTACACGTAGAAGGAGAGAATCGGCTGAAAAAATGACTCATTACACAGCATTGCCTTACCATCAACAATAAAACGCCCCTATTACCGACACACTGGGACGTTTTTGCATATACATGCTGGTACTTGTGCCTTCAAAAAATGTTCAGTCCAGCCGGACAGGGACCGTGTTAGGCTCGCTCCGGTCTACACACCGCATGATTGCGACCATTGCTTTTCTCCATTTCCCAATTTCATCACATCCAACTTCAACACACACCCATTTCTCCAGACATTTGCCACCGAGGCTGAGAAGTTGGAGCAAACATACTGAATCAAGCCACAGAATGTCAAGCACATCTTACCTATCCATGTACATGGAACAAGTAAAAGTGGCTGATAATATTCAAGCCAGACATTGCACAAGGGAAGCTCTCCTTCGCAAGGCTGACAGTGGCTTGTTGGAAATTTGCATGAGGGTTGATGACTATGGCGGCCGTGATGATGTCCTTTCTTCAACTTTGGCCCCCATTCAGACAGGGGTGAGATGGGATTTGCTGAGCCGCAGTCTGGGGCGCACCGATGGATACCATGCAGTGACGATATTCCTATCTCGACAATTAGCATTATTGACAAAATCAACTACGAGAATGATATTATGCACCGATGTCCATGAGTTTCCATGAATATAATGGTTTAATGCAGAGTTGTAGAAACGGGGAAGTAGGAAGTTTGTTGAAGTGAAACGGGTAGTCACAGGCTCTTCCTAGCGTATTATTAGTAATAAATTGGGTAACTTATAACTTATAAGAAATCATCTTTCGAGTTACCACTTTTAATCCATTAAAAACTTTTGCTACCCACATAAACCTACCCTTTTACCCTTTTCTATTACAACCTTTAATTTCCAAATACAATTCAGTCTATATTGACTGTTGACTTATTAATACCACACTATATTTCGATTACATCAAGCTGTAAGTATATACACTTCACTCTTCATCTTTTCTGAAACAAGCCTTATTATATATTTATGTTATTAATTCAAATTGTTTGTATAGTATACTATGGCTGCTCCGTTACCCATTGGAAGTCAGTTATCACAGGTTTTCATTAAGATCGCAGACGAATGTATTAGGCTGGATACCATTCCTGCTTTCGACCAAGGCGCTGTTATCTTACACACGTTGGAACAAATGCAGCAACAAATGCAACAAATGCAGCAACAAACGCATCAGCAGATAAATGAATTAGATCGAAAGCTTCAGAAAGGATTTGATGATATACATCAGAGGACTACAATCCTGTATGTTTATTTCCTTTCATACTTTTAACTCTCAGTTATTATTTGTATATACTAATCTATTTTCTTTTTCTATTAGAAATATCAATTCTATAGCTCGCACTCAGAACTTCATGATCAGCTTTGCCGACAGACAACTCAGCGTTTTGGTAGATTTTAATACTGCCGAAGAGATCCCAGATTTCCCTTCAACAGCCTCTATAATTCCTCGTATGTCAAGTGCAGCTGTCAATCGAGTACTTCTAGCGTTAGATCTAAATACAGATGGAAATGTTGAACAAAGGCGTACAAGAATGAGCGCTGCAATTGGGCTAAAGATTAATAGTGTATAATATTAATTGACAGTAGTCTTTATTAGTGAGGAATAAGTATAACGTAGTTTATCAGTGGGTCGGCCATATCAATGGATCGGTCACTTTTACCTCGAATTATTATTCTATATTCAATACGCATTTTCTTTATAATTAATTATAAAAATTCATTCTAAAGAAGCATATATAATCTTAATTATTCAAGCTATTAAATTAAATAAAAAATTATTAATTCGAAAAGCAGCTTAGCTTTATTATATACCTCAAACTACATTGAATAATAAAATTCAAAGTAAATCTAATATAATTAAGAATTGATTAAAAAGTTATAATTTGATTGAATTAGAAGAGAAGATACTTATTTAATATATTCTTAATATGAATTTGAAAGGTTTTTTATTTAAACTTAAGAATATAAAAGATATAACAAATTATATTCTCAAATCGAAGAATACAAAATATATTAGAAAGCTTTAGATATATTGATTTGTAAAGTGTTGAATTGAATTAAAGATATGTTTTAGTTATATTTATAACTTTTAAAGAGTTTTCTATAAAAATCCTAAATTTATTGAAAAATGATTTCAATTAATTATGAATATATAAGCGAAATATAATATTTTGAATAAAGATTTCTATAATTTCAATAAAATAGATTTTATAATGAGAATTATATGTACAATAATAGTTGTTATTAATGCTGAGAAATACAATAGAAGTAAATCTATACAGCCAGGTAATCGAGAATGAGCTATAACAATAATATATGGAAATAGAGAGGGCGAAATTATTCCCCTATTTCTAATAGTTCAGGGATAGGTCCATCTCTCCAATTAGTATATCAAAATCGATCTTCCTGCAAAATGGGCTATTAAACCTATATTTAATAGGTGAACAAATAATAAAATGGGTTTAGAATGGTTGAAATACTTCGATAAGTATATTAAGAATTAAAGAAAGGGCAAATATCGAATGTTGGTGCTGGATGGGTATGAAAGTTATGAATTAATAGCTTTTCAAATATACTATAAAGAGAATGATATTATATATTTACATTTATTATTATATTCAAGTTATTTAACTCAATTATTTAATATTGGCTGTTTTAGTAATCTAAAACATTCATATAGTAATCAAATTAATAAATTTATTAAAGTATATATCAATTATATTTTGAAGGTTGAATTCTTTATAGCTTTTAAAACTATATATAAGGAATCAATCACTTTTCAAAATATGAAATCAGGATTCCAAGGAATAGGTTTAATCCCATTTAATCCTGAAGCTATATTCTCGAAATTAGATATTCGAATTCGTATACCTATCCTCCCCTCTTTCAACCTAGATTAATGAATCTCTCAAACCCTTTATAATCCAATTAAAGCTCTTTCTTAATTAATATTAATTAAATCTCGAATAACTTGTTATTAAGTAAGCTTCCCTACATTTATATTTAAGATTGTATTAGCTTTAACTAAGAGTATAAAAAGATTAGTTTATAAAAATACACTTTTAAATATAAAGAATTATATACTTCAAGTAGTAAATAAAGTATTAAGTAAATATTGATACATAAAAAAAATCTAATTATATTAAGAGAGAGTGCTTATTGGACAAAAGGTTCTTAATATATTATCTTAATAAGAGATTGATATTCAAATTCAATATGATAAGTATTAAAAAGGAGGAAATTCTAATAAAAAAGTATCTTCTAATCAATATTATAATAAATATAAAAAGATAGGTTATAATACAAGAACCTATTAAAATAATGTAATAGATTCTAGATTATTAAACTCTTAATAGTTTTAATTAATTGATTTAATTATTGTTAAATAATATAGCTTTGGAGTAACAATTCGAGGTAAAAATGGCCAATTCACTGATATGACCGACCCACTGATAAACTACGTTATTAAAGACTTAATATAATTTGTAACGTGATTTATCATCGAGTGACTCATATCATCAAGTAGCCCGCTTTCACCTTAATTTATATCTTTTTCTTCTAATATATCTTTTATTAATAACTCATAATAAATCAGAATAATTAAAAAGCTTGTATACTCTTTACTATTAAAGCTATTTATAAAAAATAAAAAATTAAGTATTCGAAAGACTACTATATAAAAAGCTTCAAGTATATCGATTTATAATTATCGAATCGAATTAAAGATACGTTTTAATTATATTTATAGCTTTCAAAAAGCTTTTTATAAAGATTCTAAGCTTATAAAGGAGTGATTTCGATTAGTTATAAATATACAAGTAAAATATAACGTTCTGAATAACGTAATTTATCAGCATGTGGGCCATATCAACATGTGGGCCACTTTCACCTCAATTCATACTTTTCTTTTTCAATATGTGTTTTATCAACGATCTATAATAAATTCGAATAACTAAGAAGCCCATATACTCCTTACCATCAAAACTATTCAAAAAAACAAAAAACTAAGTATTCAAAAGATTACTAAAATATATAATATCCCGCATATAATATTATAATATAGAATTAATAATTTTACTCCTTATACAAAATATTAATATAAATCTTATAATCTTTTGAAACTAGAAAAGAATGTTATTATCGAATATATATTTGATATAGATTCGAAAGGATTTCTATCTAAAATCAAGAGTGTGGAAGATATAGCAAATTATATTCTTGAATTAAAAAGTACGAAATATATTAAGAAGCTTTAGGTACATCAATTTATAAAACATTGAATCGAATTAAAGACACGTTTTAGTTATATTTATAACTTTTAAAGAGCTTTTTGTAAAGATTTTAAGCTTATTGAAGATTGATTTCAATTAATAGTAAATATATGAGCGAAATTGTTACGGGAGCTGCCTCTAGGGTCACGTGGAAGTGGCTAGAGATCTCTCGAGGTGGTTTAGACTAGACTTCAAGTAGGAATTCAATAAGGTTGTAACTGGTTGCAATTCTCGTAACTATAGTAATGAAACTAATGATTGTTCTTGAGCACGAAGCTCTACATTGTAATGAAACCCATTCCCTTATATAGACCTTCGTACTTTGATCGAATCGTCAAGTCTACTCGACTACTCGAGTCGACAAGTCGAATCGACTTTCCTTCACGTGACACTTGTCCTCGTGACCTGGTAAGGCTACCGCTTATTTAACCTGTGCTTACTAGCTAATCTGTAACCGTTGTGCAACCTGTGCCTACTGTGGGGTAGGTGCCAATAAAAGATAGGTACCTATCTTTTAATCACTGCTTATTTATTCGGTTACCGCTATCTTTAGTTACCCTTTAATTCAACTGTCCCTACAGTGCTGTTTTCGTAGGTCCCAACACCAAGGCCTTAGGTTTATCTTATAATCCATGTTGCGGTGCGGGTACCTCCGTAACAGAAATATAGTATTTTGGATAGAGATTTTTATAATTTCGATAAAATAGGCTTTATGATGGGGATTATAAGTATAGTAATGATTGTTATTAGTATTAAAAGATATGGTAGAAGTAAATCAGTATAATTAGGTAATCGGGAATAGACTATAATAATAATATATAGAAATAAAGAGGATGAAATTATTCCCTTATTTCTAATGGTTCAAGGACAGGTTTATTTCTTTAATTAGTATACCGAAACAAATCTTCCTGTGGAATGAATTATGAAATCTATATTTAATGGATGGATGAATAATGAAATAGGTTTAGAATGATTGAAATACTTCGATAAGCATATTAAGAATTGAAGAAAGAGCAAATATCGAATATTAATACTAAATAGGCATGAAAATCATAAATCAATATCATTTCAGAATTATTGTAAGGAGAATAATATTAAATATATATGTTTATTATTATATTTAAGTTATTTAATTTAATTACTTAATGTGAACTATTTTAGTAATCTAAAATGTTTATATAATATTCAAATTGATGGATTTATTAAGGCATATATTAATTATATTTCGAAGGTTGAATTCTTTATAGTTTTTAAAACTATATATAAAGAATTAATTATTTTTTAGAATATAAAATCAAGATTTCGAAGAATAGATTTAATACCATTTAATTTTAAAACTATACTTTCGAAATTAAATATTCGAATTTATATATTTACCCCTCCCTTTTCCAATTTAGATTAATAAGTCTTTCAAACCCCTTACAATCCAACTAAAGCTCTTTTTTAATCAATATTAGTCAAATCTCGAATAAGTCGTTATCAATTAAGCTTCTCTATATCTTTATTTAAGATTGTACTAACTCTAATTAAAAGTATAAAAAGATTAGCTCATAAAAATACATTTTTGAATATAAAGATTTGTATATTTCAAAAGGCAAATAAAACATTAAATAAGTATCGATATATAAAAGAAACTTAATTATATTAAGGAAAAGTATTTATTAAATAAAAGGCTTTTAATATATTATCTTAACAAAAAGTTGATATTTAGATTCAATGTAATAAATATTAAAATAAAGGGAATTCTAATGAGAAAGTATTTTCAATAAATACTATAGTAAATGTGAAAAACTAGATTATAATTTAAGAATTTGTCAAAATAATATAATAGATCCTAAATTATTAGATTCTTAATAATTTCAATTAATTAATATAATGATTATTGAATAATCTATATTCGAAAGTATGAATTGAGGTGAAAGTGGTCTACATGCTGATAAATTACGTTAGCGATTTTTATAATTTTAATAAAATAAGCTTTATAATGAGAATTCTATATATAATAATAATTATTGTTAATATTAAGAGATATAATAAAAATAAATTAATATAATTAAGTAATCAAGAATGAATTATAGTTGTTATTATAAAAAGAATTTTTCTATAATAAAAATCGTAACAATTTTGACTTTTTTTAGAATATAATAAGAATATTTAAATAAAAATTAGATTTTTAAATATTTAAATTTTTATTATTATCAAATATTCTTTTTTTTTATAAAAAATAATGATTAATTATTAAAGTATAAATATTAAGAAAAGCTTGATTTTAGTATAATTTTAAAGTAATATATATACTAATATAATAACGTAGTTTATTAGTACGTACATCATATCAATACGTATATTACTCATTTTACATATAAAATTCGTCTGTGTGTAACCGTGTACTTTCTTTCTTTATGGATTAAAATTCCTGAAAATTTAATATAAAATATTTAATTATATATGAATTATAAAAATCTAATTAATTTTAAGAAAAACTTAATTTATAAAGTAGTTATTATAGAAATAACTATTTTGTA